GAGAGAGATTCTTTTTTAATTAATTCTTAAGTTTTGTTCATATCTCGTAGCGCCATCTAGTGGTGGGTAATCTTACAGTTGTATTTATGCATAATAAATTTTTAGTGTTTATTAATTTTTAAATATAAAAGCATATTAAATTAATTAAATTTTAAATATAGTTATAAATTTGATAACCATCTGATTTCCTTTTCCGAATGTTATAATAAATATTTATATATTGTGGGAAAAAATGTGCAAAAATGGAAAAAGAAATAGCATGGTAAAAAGTTGTTTCTAAGAGGTATATTCTCTTACGTTATTAAAATTTAACATTTATAATAAAGTGGTAATTATACTTAATATCTTTTGGAAAACTTGCAAATAGAATGCTTTAATTTAAAAAGCTGTTTAAACTATAATCAATGTATAGTATTTTGGCCGAAATAGAATTTACGAGTCGCAATTGGTTACCAAATATTTGCCTGCATCTTTTCTGCATGTATCAGGTATTCAACCAAACAATTATTCTTTGCATCTTTTATCAACACTAAGCTCAAATAGAAGGGGAAAATTAAATAAAAATAAATACGATAGTAAAAATAAAAACGATAATCAAGTTTAAAAAGACGATGTTCCTTGTTTACAGTGAAGGGTTGCCACAGACTCTTTCGTAGATATGCGCACATAACAATTAAGCAGTTATCGCGGAGTTTGGCGAAGAAGTGCCCCAGAGTTAGTCATAGTGGAATATCGCATCCCAGACACTCTAAAAAAAGAAAAAGTTTTACCCAGAAAATAAACTAAATAACTTCTTTGAACATTGACATTGAACTTCTTGGACATTGTCCATAACTATACACTGGTGAGACCTATGGACGTCATGCGAACCCACCTACCTTGGTAGAAACGCCCACTACGATTTGTAAATGCCTATTTCGATGGATGGTCTAAATTGAACATTTAACTTGCCACTTGTGACAGGGACATTGTCCTCCTCACGCTGCTGCTCATCTGTCTCGATTACATGCAACCTATACACCCGACTGTTAAAGGCAACACAGGAGCGTCCACGAGCGTGAACTTAAAACACCTCTTACGATCAGCACTCAAAAAGTACGGTGAACTTCATACAGCTCTCCCGGCTTCTCACAAAAACAGCAATGAATCAACTAGTGGTATCCGTTCATCCAATTCTATTACAGATATAATTCTGGTGTGGGAGTACTGTAATGTATCTATCACTACAAAAAATATATTTCCAATTTACAAGTATATAAGACAAGTTAACTTGTTCTTTGTTGGGGTACCTTTTCATAGATGAAGGTTGACATGGCCGATGTGCCACCTCCCACTGAAATCCTTCCTATACAATATTTTTTTAGAACCCGCGATTGAAACAGTCATGTAAACAAAACCACAAATTCTGAACAGAATTATAAAAGTCAAAAGAAGATGTGGGACTCAATAGCACTAACTAAGTGCTGTGACAATTATTGGAAAGAGTATTAAAATATATAAATTTTACTTACAAAGTACTTTGATATTTTGAGAGACACAGACATAATACCAAGTCTACTTTGAAAAACATAATAGGTGAATTATGGGAAAAAGAGAAATGACACTGAATTTTTTATAACTAATATTTGGTCACTTGTCATACATCATTTTCTTCAGAAATATCTCTTGAATCTTAACCAGAGGTCTGTCCAGGGCAGATTTACAACTGTTCAGTGGTACCTTCACAAATACAGTACAGAACCCGTTATCCGGATATCAGAAAACCGGAAAACCAAAAAACCGGAGCGAAATTCGATAAATTTTCCCACCATTTTTTTTAAAAAAAATTTTTTTTCCTCATTAGATTTTCGGATTTTTCTTTCTTTTTTGAAAGATGTTTACCTTACCATCATTTTGGAAATAATCATTAGAGTATTACTTCATCGTTCTTTCTTCTTTTTAAGATTATTTCCAAATAATTTCTTTTTTTTAGTTGGGTTTAACAATAAAAAACGACTTTTTGTAGCGATTCAGAAAACCGGAAAAATCAGTTATCCGGAATAGCGATGGTCCCGATCGTTCCGGATAATCGGTTCCCTACTGTACAACGTTAGTAAAAACAGTAGTTCCATAAAATACTTTAAAAAAAGCAAGTTCTAAAATTCTCCACCTCTTACAATTTTGATTTTGTAACCCCATAAAAACTATAAATCCCAGTTTTTTAAAATGAAACAACAAGGTTCTCTTTTTATAAACTATACAGGAAGTCAAAATTCGAACATCTTTAACATTATCGTAAATTTAATCAAACCTTTATTTTTTATGAAATTTTTTTTTCCCACATGAAACTTTTTTCAATATGATCTGATTGAAAATGTTCTCATAATGAAAATAAGTTTTAATTCCAGTACTGTTAAATGCAAGTTGAAATTTAACTATGGACAATTGATTTCTAAATCAATTTTAAGCTCGAAAATTTACAATAGCAAAATTATTTTTTAATATATGGGGAAAAATATATAGAAATTTACCAGTCATAAATTATTTTTATTTGTAGTGACAATTTTGGAAAATAATTTCTTATTTTATCATATTTTGGTGTTGATTTTTTTAATGTTACTTAATATTCACATGATACCTCAAAAAAACCTAGACAGACCCCTGTTAACAGAATTTTTCTAATTAACTTCAGAAAACCAGAGCCACTTTTACTCTTTAAATTTATTGAATAAATTTATTTCCTACACATAATGTATTATGTAACTTTTGTCTTTTTAATTAATCTTTCATTTAAGTAATATAGAAAAAATTTATTTTTTTATCCATGAAACAGGCCTATCATTTAGTAACATTATGATTGCCCTCCTGTTACCAAAATACTACATCTCTACTATCTGACTTAGAACCTATTAGGTTCAAAAATTAATATTTTATTTTACAAAGCATAGTTAATTCACTAATGAATAAGAAACAGTTTATTTTTTATTTTAGTAGCTTTTTAATGGCAACAAAAGGACAGAAAATAACAGAAGGGCAAACTATCTATAAACAGACACTTCAGAGTCGATTTTTAAAATCTTTAGAGTGAAATATACAAATCTTGTTTCAAATTCAAGGCATAGATATATAAATAATATTTAAACAGTTCATTTTTATTTTCAAATATATCGCTTTAAAGAATTCGAAAATTTCTCTAGAATTGTATTTAACTATTTTCTAACTACATTAGGTAAGTTTTTAGGTCATTTAAATATTTGGTCTGAAAGTTTTTTTTGTCCAATTTTTTTAATTTTTGAAGGCCATATGTCCTAAGTGGATCGATAATATCGTATCAAATTGTATTCCAAACAAACACTACCACTGTGCCAAATTTGGTTTAATTCCAACAGAATAAGGTAAAAGTTTGTCAAAAATTGCGGTAAATGACCCTGAGAAAAGATTTCCGTATCGTGATCTGCGGTAGAATAATCACCAGCGAGAAATTTAAAAAAATATAGCGATTTTAAAAATGGAATAAATTATGTGAACAAGTAATGAACAAAAAATAAAAATATCTAAATGAGAATTTATTGTACCAACAATTAGAAATAAAATAAATTTTACATCCACATAATCAGTGATTATCAAATGCGTGAAGCAACCTGCACTTGAAAGTAATCAATTATACAAAACAGAAGCTGAAAGTATTGAGGGAAAATACAGAAATCCGCCATTTTAGGCACACTTACATTTTAAGATTTAGAGTCCTGAAAAACGAATCCATACTTGGTGTAGACATTTCGAAAAAAAACAGTTAAACAATTTTATTAAAGAATCAGCCTCGAAGGCCAAACTAACTCGTAAAAGAACTCTAGCAAATTCTAGACTTCGAACAAGGATGAGGAAATAAGCCTGTTTTCTAACTTAGCACACGTAACTTAAGTCGAAAGATAATGACGTCATCTATCACAAATGAAAACAAAATTTGTACATTGCCACTAACATTTGAAATTCCAAAAAATGACAGTCACTCGTGTTATAAATCGAGAATTCTATCAGCGAGCCTCACGCTTGGACTGATCGTTAAGACACGGTTCCCAGCAGATCACCGAAGTCAAGCATCACTGGCTGCGGTCAGTGTGCGGGTGGGTGACCACTTGGATCAGCCTGCGTAGGGACCGAGGGTGTGCATAATCCTAGGGTGTGCATCGAGGGTGTGTGTGGTATTGGTCCTCGTTAAACTGTTCTACCGTAAAATGTTCGACTTCGCGCGCAGGTCGTCGGGCTACCGAAGCGGGGGTGCCATCCCCTCCNTCTGTTAGTGTAATGATATGCAAATCACTCTGGGTGAAAGGTTTTTGCATCAAATAATAGTCATGTCTTAGCTTGTTACAATTTATGCACTCCCTGTTATTTTAAACCGTTAAAATTTATCAATAACGAAAACTTTTATTATTACTTTGATGTTTCAAAGTAATAAATATTTTCTTTCCTTTCTTCTGGAGAAGAAATTTATTTCTTTAATAAGGGAACCTTAAAGAAAATGTCAAAACAAATTAAAACATTTGTTTTTACTAGCGAATACATTTATAAATGTTTTTGTTTTAATTTCTCTCAAGCCACTACCCGGAAATTGTGGTGATGCTTTATTGTCAGAAAAATTCCCAGAATTCAGAAAGTTTTAGTTTTAATTAACAATCACTAAATAAAATATTTTGTAAAAGGCATAATAGTTTGCAGCTCTGAATTCATTATATTCTTATCTTTGTACATTAAAATGATACAGTGTTCATATAGATATTCAGTTTGTTAATAAATTGAATCAATGGAAAGTTTTCGTATCGTAGTTACAAACTAATTAAAATAGAACTGAATGCTTCTTAGATTTTAATGATTGTAAAAAATATTTGTAAATGTTTAAATATTTTTACTTCTGAGTTCAGACATAAAAAAAATAATCGGTAGCATTTATTTGCTTCCTTTACCAGCAGCATATATTTTGCAGGCTTTTTTTCCTCATCACGTGAAATCAAAAATTAAATCTTCAACTAATAATGTTCAGTTCGTTTATCATCATAGCCCTGATTTTTAAGTGTTTAGTTCCCCAAGTATGCTGCATGCTGTTTACATCCAATAATTCGGAATTACACATCTGATTAATTAGCTTACTGATTGTTTACATGTCTTTAATAATAATTCCAGATTCCTTCATTATATGTTCTTAGGGCACAATATATCACTCGTGAAATATATATACACATGTATCTGAGTCTCAATGCTGAGTTTACGACCACCCAAGTTTAACTCGGTAGCCTTGTTATTTGAACTCCAACACAAGACAAGGAAATTCCTGGATCAAGCATTGGAAAATACTAGCTTTCATGGAATGCTTTTTGAAGGAGCTAACCGCAATTTACGTTACACGGAGAGAAAACTTACGAAAACCTCCTACGGATATCCCGATGGCAAGGATATTCTAACCCATGATCAATCCAACACTGAAGATATTTTATGTCAGCACTATGGTCAGAGCAAGCCGAGAGCATAATTTGTATCAACCAGCCATCCCTAGGATTCGAATCTAGGTCACCTCTTAAGGTGACAAAGGACCTATCCCCTGAACCACTAAGGCTCCTTATACATATATCGTTATATATATATATATATGTGTGTATATATAATAACAGTTCTACATCCCTGTTATCATTGTTGTATTCAGATTTAATAATGCAGTCAGAAGCCATAATTAGTTATAAAAAGTTTTATTTGAAGATATACTGGTGGTTATAACAGATCACATCCCCACTCCGCAAAGGAGGGAGTGTGGACGAAACTACGGATGGTTCCGGCAGATGTTTATTGGAACACGTTATTCAGCAAGAGACATGCGAAAACCTTCGGTCCCGCATTAAATACTACAGAGAATGATGTAATTAGATTCCAGTCGTACATACCTTTGTAACTCTACGCATTATGGAAAATCATTTACTGCTTCCTAATATGGAAGTGAAAGAGGGACAAGATTCTAAAAATAACTCCTGCTTTGAAATATAAATCTAATTATAATTCAATGGTATGTTTTCAGCCTTGAATTCCCAAAATAGAATATATCTAAGCTTACTCTTTAAGAAAGACATTTCATGAAACCGAAAGGGTTTTAATTCTTTTATTAATGCAAAAGTATTTATAACTTTTGTATTACATCCCCCCCCCCAAAAAAAAAATTTTTGTAAGCCAAAATAAAAAAAATTTAGAATACTTTACATTTATAAAATTTAGGTTGGTACTTCTGTTCCTTTTCCCTACTACAAATAACATCTTCTCAATTATGAGAAGAAAAAAATTATTTACAATGACAAAAATATAAAAAACATGATAATGCAATTTATCTGTTTAGTCAATTAAACAGAAAGAAAAATGAAACATGTTTATAAACTATTCTACTAAAATTTTCAAAAATTTTTCACACAAAAATATACAACATTTTTATGCAAATGAACTGGACAACAAGTGTTATTTAATCAGAATTTTAGATTCTGCGTGATTAAAAATATTCCCTAAGCTTTGATACATGTACTATTTCAAAATTTTGTTCACTTAAATTTTTCCTTTTATTTATTTTGTAATCAGTTTCTTGGTCATTCTTTCTTTTTCCTATTTTTCCTTTTATTTTTTGCTTTTGTTACCCTTTACATTTTTTTTTCAATGTTTACTTTTACTGAAACATCTTTTTCATCATTTTTTCGATGTTTACTTTTACTGAAACATCTTTTTTTTTTTTTCCACACCATTTTTAACCTTAACATTTTGAGAATTTTGCTGTCTAATGTGCAAAGATAAGTTGTCACTTATAGAATTAGCAAAGATGGCCAGTCTCTTACCAAATTGAGTAACAACTGGCCCGACACAATCAATAAACAAACAAAAATCTTTGCAAGTCTGCAACCCTACTAAAGCATATGGTAAATCAGTATAAAGTATAAAAAACTTAGCAGAGCTAACATTTTCGTCTATTTTCTAACATTTTCGTCTTAGCAGAGTTAACATATTCTAACATTTTCCACTAGCTGTAGATAATCTGGATTGCCAGTAATCTAGATCAGTGGTCCCCAACCCCCGGTCCGCGGACCGGTACCGGTCCGTGGATCAAATGGTACCGGGCCGCCCATTTCATTGAAATTGAATTTAAATTCCTAGGTTTATACCCCAAATTAAAAATATCTGTGTTCCATTAAAATTTTATTTATTTAAAAAAAAGATGCCCCCGAAGGTAATAACATAAATTTTTTAATGTTTTAAAAAGCAAAAAAAAAAAATAAATCTTCTGCAACTATTTTCTCATTCAATTAGTTTTAATAAAAAAAAAACAATCATCGTAACTGTAAATATCATAAATAAAAAACGAAAGCGCGACGTGACATTTGCATTGGAACTAATATAGAACTTCGTCTTCTCTCTCGATTCTGACGCCTCACACAGCAAGAGTGTATAGTAAGGATATAAAAGAGAAGCTGGCTAGTCTGCCATTTAGTCGCCCAAAGACCACGTGACCATGATTCCTCTCTACTGTTTTGCGTGCTTTATGCGGTTTTGTTTATTTTTTGTAAAAAGAAAGTGTCTATCACTCCTCTCTCTGTTCACCGGTACTTTCTCAGGTTTAACAGTGCTTGGTGTACGCGTGTATTGTGTCTGCACAAATTTAACTCACAAGTAAGCAAAAATGAATACTAAACAGACGTCCTTAGAAAGTTTCCTTAGAAAAAAGAAAAGGCTCAGTGAAGAGACTGAAGAGCCTTCAACATCAAAGAAACATGCAACTTTTAACAGACAATACCATGAGTCCTGCTCTAAGTATGGTTTTGTTGGGACAGGCGATTCACACAAACCAAAACCGCTCTGCATAGTTTGCGGTGATCAACTCTCTAATGACGCAATGAAACCTTCAAAACTGCTTCGCCACTTGAACGCCAAGCACCCTGGATTAAAAGACAAGTCCCTGGAGTATTTTGAAAGGAAAAAACGGGAGCACGAAGGACAGAAAAAATTTATGATGGCCACCACATCAATAAAGGAGAGTGCACTAAGAGCATCATATTTGGTGGCTAACCGCATTGCTAAAGCTAAAAAGCCATTCAATATTGGTGAAGAATTAATCTTGCCCGCCACTAAAGACATTTGCCGTGAAATACTAGGAGAAGCTGCTGTGGAAAAGATAGCACATGTGCCTTTGTCGGCTAGCACTGTGACTAGGCGCATTGAGGAAATAGCCGAAGACATTGAAAAGCAATTGTTGGAGAGGATTAATGCATCACCGTGGTACGCACTCCAGGTTGACGAATCAACAGATATTGACAGCAAGGCAATACTACTTGTTTATGTGCGATATCCATATCAGGAAGATGTGTATGAGGATTTGTTATGTGCACTATCTTTGCCAACCAACACCACAGGAGCAAAACTGTTCAAGTCACTGGATGGTTATATGTCAAGACAACTAAAATGGTCCTTTTGTGTAGGCATATGCACAGATGGAGCTGCTGCGATGACCGGACGTCTATCTGGTTTAACTGCTCGGATTAAGGAAGTTGCACCTGAGAGTGAAGCTACACATTGGCTGAATTGTCAGAACGAGGTTTAACTTTAAACCTGGTCTAAACCGCGGAGTTAAACCAAGCCGCATTGCACAAACGAAGTTTAAGGAAAAACGCGGTTCTAAAGATCTAGTTCAGCCTTGTCTAAGTTAAACCTAGTCTGAGGTAGGTTTAAACCAGGCAGACGAGTTTTAAACCTCGATCTTCTGCTTAAAATCGGAGAACGTCAATTTCGCTTTCGTAGATAGTTAGTTCTGTATTGTTTTATCAGGTTTAAAATATAAATACGTACATTTTTATTGAGAAATTATAATAAAATTTTGTGTGATTATCGTACATTTTTTTCTGTATCTTTCAAAGTGTTTATAAAATCTAATGAAAGAATGCATCTTTTGGATCTCCGAGATTAGTTCTGAATTGACAGTATAGTATTCAGTTATTGACAGTATACCATTCAGTATTTTTTTTCTTGAAAATAAACATTAAGATAATTAAATATCTTACTTGCTGAAAGGGTCTTTCTTTTTGAGTGATTGTGTATATTATATTCAAATTCAACTACTCAGGAGATAGACTTTTTTGGAATAATAAAATGCGAGGGATGCGAAATTACAAATGTAAGGATTAAATAAAGTAAGATTTTTTTTCTTTAAAATTAAAGATCATGAATGTTTGAATAGACCAATTATTGATCTTAAAGTAGTGCTATTGTTAGTAAAAAGTTTTGGATTCTATACATGTGGAAAATAATTATTACTATTTGCTGTATTTGATAGTTTCAAACATTGATTATATTTTTTTTATAAAGATATTGATTTTTTTTTTATTCTAGTTTTTTTATTCTAGTTTATTCTAGTTTCTATTTATAAAATTTCTTATCTCTTAACATATGTTTTTTAGTAGCGGTCAACAGATTTTCACAGCATATACATTAATTTATCTTTTTTTTTATTTGCTTGCTACATTTTTCTAAAGTATTAAAAGTAAAATTAATCAGTAAAATTTTCTAAATCAAAGAATAACAACTTCATACCATGAATATAAGTTACTGTGCATGTTATAATTCTCATTTTTATAAATTTTAACTACATAAATGCTAGTTACCAGAGGTGGAAATTGAAAAAAAATGTGTTTTTAAAATTAAATTTAGGAAAAAAAATTCACCACTTTTCACTTTATTTTGTTTAGTGTGAATTGGTCAAAAAATTTTTTATCCCAACAAAATTATGAGAAAAATAAATCGAAAATTACTTTCTTAATGACTATATTTGCGTATTTATAACAAGAATCTTTCATTACCACAATAATATGAGATATCAATAATTTTTCATTCATGTCATACCAAAATTTTTCTTTGGATTGCTTTTTGAGCTATGTTAAATCACATTTTCATTTTTTAAATTTAATTGACTGAAAGTCATTTATGATGTTGAAAACTGGTTCGTCTTATCGCTATCGAGTAAGTTTGACAAATAGGTTGCATTAAAATTTTTTTCCTGTGTATATTGTCAATAACCAGGAGATAAAATTTTAATGCTATGGAAACAAGTAATTCTTGCCCAGTAAGATTGGCAGAAAGCAGTTGTCTGTTAAGGGAAAATCGACTATTAAATGAACTAACACAATTCAGGGATATTTCCGTAACATGATCTATCAGGCCAACTAAAATGCCATTTTTCTACACTTTTGCAACTAAGCATGTGAACACCACAACATTATTCTTTGAAGAGAGCTTGCTTTAACTAAGTATAATTTTATTGATTCCCTAATAAATTAAGACATGCTCATGTTTTTATTATTCTACAATTTTGAGATATATTTAAAGAAAAAATATGAGAAACTTTGTGCATAAAGTTGATGATAAAAGACAACAGATATGTGACATTGGCTGGCTTAATAATATAATTCCATGGAATTAAAAATTAAACACCATATTACTATTCATGTTCGTTTGTTACAGTAAAAATATTCGTACAAAGAAATTTTATTGAACAAAAAATGCTTATGTTTAATCGTTTAATAATTAAAAACTATAATGCAATTAAAAAAAAAGTAAGTTTAAAAAAAATCTGTGTTATATAAATAGTATGTACATAATATATAACATCTTATATGTTATAAAAAATTACAGATATCACTCAGCATGGGGATGAATTTTGTAGTAAATCAAGTTAGTAAGTCTGAGAAAAAGTTAAAGAAATAATTAAGCATGTGAATAATAAAAAGTGCTGTTTGAAAAAAAAAATGCTTACTTCATTCATTTTTAAATACATACAAATGATTTTCCTTTCTTATTAAAAGTTTCCAATTATGCTTTTAAGTAAATTTTCTAGAATGTGCATTCCTTTGAATTACAGGAATAAAATCTCATACAACAGAATTTACACAAATTTAGACTCTTAAGCTTATTTTTTCATCACTATTAGTCCCACAGTGTTAAGATCGTTCCCAGTAGAACGCTGAAGTTAAGCATCGCTGGCTGCAGTCAGTAAGTGATTGAGTGATCACTTTGATCAGCCTGCGTAGGGACCGAGGGTGTGCTGTATCGGTCTTCATAAAACTGTTTTAACGTGAAGTCGAAAAATGTCACCAGAATTTAACAGCGTATTGATTGATGTCGTTAAAGTTATTAACTACATCAAAGTACACGCCCTTAACTTGCGCCTATTTGAGCAGCTTTGTGAGGAGATGGACGCAGAGTACAGATGCTTTCTGTTATACACAGAAATAAGACCATAATAACATGGGGGCACCCTCAAGTATAATCTACCCGAGTATTAAAATATAGATGCTGCATATTAAAATATAGATGCTGTAAAAATGATTGCACAAATCACTTAAAATATTAAAATTATTTCACAGTATAAATGGCTGCTTGTACCCTGAAAAAGAGAAGAAATATCTTAACAAAACTATTTACTTTCTAGCTTATTTTCTAGAATAATGGTAAAATAGACCTGCCTACCCAAACTTATTAAATATTAATAACTAAGCTGCAGACTTAAAAATTCTATAAGTTTTGGTAATAACAAATAATTTAATTTTAAATAAGCTAGAACGGTTTTGTTATCAGCTTTTTCCAGGTTACAAACAGGCATAAATATTTTCAATAACTAATTTTTATTTTCTCAAATAACGTAATTTTGGTGATTGTCAGCATTCCACAGCATTTTTTTTTTTAATATCGTGTTGACGATGTCGGACGACATAGTACAACGTTTGTAAATGCAGAGAGATGTCGATCGACGTTCCCCAACGTTTTCACAATATCGAACAATATTGTTTTGCAATATTGAATATACGTTATAACAGGGGTCCATTTTTATATAGTACAATATTTCGCTACGATATTGTACAATGTTCAAAGCTAAGTTTTTACGATATCGTTTTTGTGAATTGTGCTACTTGGGGTGGTTATTGTTTAAAAAATTTGTTGGATAATTTTTGCAGAGGAAAATTTTTGATAACCTAAAAATGTTTTCATATTGGAATATTTATTCTGATGTAAATGTTTTGATCATTAAGAATGTTTTAGTTAAATCAGCGGTAATATAGCAAAAATGAGCTTGCATAAATTTTTGGAAATTATATAGTCTGTTATTTATGTATAATAATAAATGAACTTATATAGAGAGAAATGCTTGTGTGTTGTACTGTTTGTCATTAAAATTAAGGTACGATGCTAAAATTTATATAATGTCTAGTTTATAATAAGGAATGTTGAAATATGAAGGTTGCATTTTTTAGGATAGCTGTATTAAGAAGATGTGGTGATTAAAGTTACAAGTATTTTAGATCTTCAAATTATCTTTATATATTTCAAAATTGATAGATGAGATTTATGTATTCAAAATAAATTAGTTAACTCTGTAAATTTTGTCTGTGTGAGAAATTTATCCCTTTNCCCCCGCTTCGGTAGCCCGACGACCTGCACGCGAAGTCGAGCACTTTACGGTAGAACAGTTTAACGAGGACCAATACCGCACACCCTCGGTCCCTACGCAGGCTGATCCAAGTGGTCACCCACCCGCACACTGACCGCAGCCAGTGATGCTTGACTTCGGTGATCTGCTGGGAACCGTGTCTTAACGATCAGTCCACTGCGGGACAAGATCCGGCGTTCCGGGCAAACAAGTATGGCGCCAAACATAAGTCGCCAATTTCGCCAAGGGGCACCCTCAAGTATATTTTCCCCAACTGCTCAATCAATTAATGCATATAAAAATAAATTTCTAGTAGAGTTGAATTATAAAATTCATTCTCAATGGAAAATAACAGGTGAATGATGTTTACGTTTTATAGAACGTAATATATTAACATTCATGCAATGTTTTAAAATTTAATTAGTTAAAAATAAATGTATAAAACTAACATATTAATAATTTTTACTTACCACAACAGAACAGATTAGATTTCTATTCCATGCAGTAAAATTTCGGCACGTGAAATTAACAAGCCATCACAACAAACATGCACACGAACACTGGCGATGTGGCGATTTAACAGATAGAAAATGTCGCCTCAATGATTGAAAAAAGCAACCCATTTTTCGTTGCCACCGGAAAGATAGGACTTTCACTTCCTCTTGCGGGTTCATCTTATCTATGAAACTCCTCTAGTACGACGCAAATAAAGTACATACCAACCAATCGCTTATGAAATCGATATATTTGAAACAAAAATTTCGATACTGCTTTATCGTTATCGTGCCTTTTCTGCTCTTAAAATTTCTGAAAGGATGTCTGTATGGATTATAAATTGTTGAGAATTATAGAGATGGTGATTTTATCTTAGGGCCAAAACTCTTTTAAAATTCTTTAGTTGTTACATCTAATAGTAAAGACGGCATTTAATGAATAATTTCTTATGAGACAGTTCTTTTCGTAGGTTTTTAGATTTTATGAAAGTCTGGCGAAAAAATAAACAGCGCCTGGAATATGGGCATAGAATTAATAAACGGGGAAGGCGATCTGGTAGTAAAATTGTTGAAAAACAAAGTATGCCGCTCGCATTGATATCAGATCCTTGGCAGCGTATGCAAATTCAAGATGTTAAACAAGATGAGGAGGTTTGTTCCATTTTACAATTATACTCTCGTCCGATCTTCTAATTTGCTGTAACCAAAACACATTTCGTTGATATAATTAAATTTCTTTTGTTTATCGATGTCACAAAATATTCTTTTTAGGATGTGTACAAATAATCTTTTTCAAATCGAGCAAACTATCCAGAGTATAATATTAAAAATTCCTTATTGAACACTTCAAGCTAATTTGTGGTGCTAAAAAATTAATTAAACTATTGATTGTAGTAACTCCCTGTGGCAGAATTTGTTCGAGCTATTTGCGACAAAACTCTTTATCACTAATATCTTTCTTCAAGATACATTTAATAATAATAAACATATATGTTACTAATTTAAAATAACATAAGTGTTTGTTGTGTTTATAAAAATAACTATATAATTTTTATAAATAAAACATGTCATAATTTTTTATTCTAATATTATGGGTGATATTTTCGGATTTTGTGTGGGGGGGCACAAATTATTTCCTTTTTCACATTTTGTAAATAATTTTCATAGTAAAAAATATAATTAAAGATCATGAAATCTAGCAGTGATTGCTAAAAAAAAAGATCAACTAAATCATATAATTGGGTTCCTCAGATGCGTGTTTCGTTTCAAGATTAGGTTGTTGCGATAAACAATATTGCTTAAAAAATAATGGATGTAAAAACTATGGTGAAATCAATAACTGCCAAAAATTCGATAAAATTATTGCCTTTAAAAGTAAATACTCATATGCATGATTCGAATTTTCCATATTGTTTAAAATATATCGGGATATTTAAATTCCATGGGAAAACCAATATCAATATCTGCCAAAACATGCAATCGAAACATTGCATCAAGATCTACAATACTATTGTCGTAAATTGAGCGCGCGTCAAAAGTGAATATCTAAATGCATGATTCAGATAATAAGTGTACATTTCTGTAGAAAAGACGAGTAATATTTTTTTTACTTACAAAAGAAAAATCTTTCATTCAAGAAATTTGTAACATTTTGCAATAAGGTTGCTACGATTCTGCCATGGGGGTAACAGTGTAGAAATTTTTTTTCTCTGTACAATGTAGATATGATGCATAGCTTTTTTAAAAAGTGCTTATTTTCGATTTTCTTTTTTTAAAAGCCCTTAAATGTGCTTTTTTTCATTGGGTGTTTTTAAAAAGTGCTTAATTTTCCCTTTTCGAAAATGAGATTTTTTTTCTTAACCATGTTAATTTTTGCTATTTATTATGCAAAAGCATGCTTTCCTCTTTGTTCTATTCAAAATTTTCACAATTCATTCAACCACAATCTATTTCAGCGTACCATCGGTCCATAGCGTATGAAAGCAACAGTTATTTTACAGGTTTGATGAAATATTTGCGAGTTCGTATGTGCGTACAGTGAGCTTGTTTCTGTGAGATTGCTTCACTCTCATGTGCAACTCTGCTGCATTTTACAATATTTTCACAATTTCACGATTAATTTTCCATCGAACCGAAAAATCTCTTGCTCATTTTTAATGGCTAACATAATCAAGAAAAGAGTTCTTTGTCAAAAACTTATTATTTTATTGTGATCATGTAAAGTCTTTGAAAGTTATTTTGCATTTTGTTAGTGTATATAGTGCTTAAAAAGTACTTAAATAGGGCTTATTTTTTGTTAAAAAATTTGTCTACACACCCTGTAGAGTTTGGTACTGATTTGATGAACTCGAATCACTGATTTGATTTGGTGATTCGAACCACCAACTTGCAACTGAATCAGTGATTTGAATCGGTTGATTTTATCAGAATGTATATAAATTATAATGAATTAATATATATATTTATGTTAGTTTTTGTTTCACTGTGATCAGGGGTCTGTTTAGAAGAAATTTGGGTCCGTTAACAGACCCATCACAAAATATCTTTTCATAAAAACGGACTCTTCACAAAATATCTTTTCATAAAAATGAACCCTTCACAAAATATTTTAACTTAAAAACGGAACCTTCACAAAATGATTTTTCTTTTAATCGGACCCTTCACAAACTTGTTTATCTTTATTATTGTTTTGTTAATCAAATAAACCTTTCCCAGGGGGAAAAAAAAAGGAAAGATGGATGTAAACGAATTGAGTTTTATCTTCGGCAGACGTTTCTGCTATTATTCGTCCGAAATGAATATTTTGTGTTGAGCAGTATAGTCTAAATACCAAATATTTGTATGTTGCATCTCTAATTTAGAAACAGCAATTGCTGTTTTTTTTTTAAAATTTAATTTTTTTAATTATAATTTTACAGTGTTGAGCATAATCTTGTATCTCTTTACAATTTAAAAACTTATTGAAAAAGTTTTTTTACAATAACAGGACCCTATTTGCACAAATTCATAAAAGCGGACCCTGGTTGAAAGAATGTGACTTATTTTATATTCACAAATTACGAGTAACTTTTTCGCAATTTTACAAAAACAGGACCTTTCACAAAATGTCTGGGCAGACCCCTGCTGATGCTACAGGGATTGTACAAAATTAAGGAAACACTTCCATATTAACACATTTTTTGATCTTTCTCAAAAAATACTTAGGAGTCATTTCACAAATTTAGAAGTGTTTATGCTATGCGATTTCTCATACTTATCAATGAATAAAGCTTTTGGATGTTTGAGGGAACGACAATAAATTACAAACAGAAAAAAAAGTTTTGGAACACTCTATGCCAATAGTTGTAGCTATAAATTTGTAACGTGTAACAATTATTTTGGTTATTCAGAGCTCATTCTAGGCAGGGTAAGCAGGGCGCAGCACCCTGCTGCCCTTTTAGACAAAAGAATCCACCCTGTTGCCCCCCCCCTGAAGTAAATTAGTGCCCTGATATAATAGACTCCATAACCTTCTTGCCCTTTCTTTCCTCAACCCTTCTTTGTTTTTTCCCCAAACTCTACTATGAATTTCTGAAACTTTTGTTACTTTCAACTCTTTTTATTTAGTTTGTCATTGCTGTCAATACATAGGAATACATTTATATGGGAAAGGAAAAATAGCCATCACACCCCTTGTTGCACTTGTCATTGAAAGTTTGCAGTTACTTCCACTACCATTAAATCATAATTATTAATCATTTTAATTATTAAATCATAACTACAGAAACTTAAAAACATACATTTATTATTTTATTAATATATGCATGCATTTTAAATAAATCACTAAGCTACTAAATAAATTACTACCCATTAACTTAATATATATGTTAATTTATTAATAAAAATTAGTAATTAATATGATTGCTTTGCTACTTTTAGTAAAGTAAAGAAAAAAAATTCTTTTACTAATTGGTGATGTTTTTTAATAGAACGTGTAAAGCCCATAGAAAGAAATTATTGCCTTTTTAGAATAATAATGCTCTTTTTTTAAACTTTTGCACCCTGCCCTTTTTTCTGCCTAGAATGAGCTCTGGGTTATTATATGTGAGAATTTTGTGAACCTAGCTTTCATAATAATGGAAATATGAACCTTTTTTATAAAAACTAATTTTTTTTTTGTTTTATGTTTTTTTTATTATAACTTTAAAAATATTCAATAAAATTAAACAAAAATTTTAGAGCAATTTAAAAGTTACTACAAAATTATCGCTTTAAAATTTGAAAAAAAAAATTGTGATTATAATCATATGATTCAAATCACTGATCTGAATCACTGAATCCAAATAGTGATCCGAATCATTCTGTAGAGGTTAAGGCTTCACAATTTCATAAAAATATTCAATAAAATCAAGCAAAGTTTTTAAAGCAATTTAAAATTAACTACAAAATTATTGCTTTAAAATTTGAGAAAATTTTTTGATTGTAAACGTAATCATAATTCTAATCACTGATCTGAATCACTTTATCCAACTAGTGACCATTTGGCTCTACAATTTCATGACCAGCAGCACAATTGTGGCATCAGCATTGCTATTACTTTCAATAAAAATTTGTAATTACATCATGTTTAATAAACTGTTTCAACCACTGGGAGGACTTTTTGATGGAGAAGAAAAAGCTCCCTTTACCACTGAGGATAGTTCACATCAGCACTGTGGTCGGTGCGGAATTTGTACCGACCAGCCAACGCTGAGATTCGAACTATGGCAAGCGTTCTATTCCCTAAGTGAGCCCTCAAGGCTCCAACTGATGTTTATAGGGTAACTGTTTGAAAGCAGTTTCAAATCAGAAAAATATTTAACATCACTCCTAATTAAAGTGGATGCCACAGATTTTTCTTGTTGATTTTAAGATAAATGATTTCAAAACACGTTGTTCAACGACTATTTTTAAAAAAGTCAATGCTTGTTAAACCTACTTTCAACCCATTTCTAATTTTTTGATCAAAATATAATTTAATAAAAATTTTTTATACGATTTTAAACTATGTTATTTTAATTGTTACTTAAGAGATAAAAATTTAAAAATATATTTAAGAAAATATTTTGACTTTTTTTTAATCAATTATGTTTTATAATTATGTTGATGTAAATGAAAACAATAACTGGAGAAGGAGATTTTAACTTTGAACTGTACAAGATTTATTACCAACCCAATATTATTAAATACATAAAAATAATTTGAATGAATTGGATGGCCCAAGTGATTGGAATGAGTCATGACAATACAGTAAAAAAGATGCTGCTTTTTAAACCCACTGGAACAAGAAAGCGTGGAAGGCCGCAGTTGAGATGGGCTGACTCGGTGGAGTCTGATTTTCTTGCAATTAATGAAAAGAATTGGAGATTAAAGATAAATAGGAAGTCATTATAGAAAAATGTTCAGAGGAAGGCATTGGCTCACATTGGGCTGACTGGCCAACTTTGATGATAATGATAAGTTTTATTAATTTAACCATAAAATATAAAGGCTTTAAGTAAAGCACAGTATATTTTGCTTATTAAAACTAATGCATGTTGCTTTGAATTACTACTCTTTTAATATGTATGTATAATAAATATCCATAATGTTAGATTTTTTATTTTGCCAGTTAATATGCATATTTGTCATGTTTTAGATGTAGTTATGGAATGCCTAAGTTCAAAGCATGCTACTTTTAATTTATTATTGCTTATGTTATTTCAGTTATTTGTGAATAACCAGCATTCAGCAATTAGCATCACACCACCAATTGATGACAAATTTTGTGTAAGCTCAATTTTGTTTTGGTTAGTTTTTTATTTTTTATTTCAATTTTCCCATTATTTATATTTTTAAGATTTCTTTTCGTTTTTATGTTATGTTTAAAAATGGTTGTTTTATGAATAAGCTTTTCAAACTGTATTTTTTTCAAAAGTAGCAATTTTTATTTTAGTAATTTATTGTTTTAATTTTGTCTATATTATGTGTTATATTTATTGTTCTAAAGTTCTAAGTTGATGTAATAATGAAGTAAAATTGTGTTTAAGCAATCACAGTCCGGTTTTGAAATTCATTAAACACTTGTAATTGTATAATTATGATGAAATAAAAATACATTGCTTAAGATAATTTATGTAAATTTTATTTTATCAATTTATTTTCTTATGTATGAAAAGATTTGAATGGATAAACTTTAATGACAGATTTGTCTTTTGCTTTTAAATAACTTATGTATAATTTGCATTCATCTGGACATTTCCTTATTTGTTATGGAATGTATACTAACTTAAATAAATTGTTTTTAAAAAATTTCTTCTTTTAGCCTCCTCAAGCAGAAAGTATGGCTGCAGAGGAAGAAATTCCACAGGTAAATAAAGATGGTTGTTTCTTCCTGAAAAAAGTTTAATCTGAAGAAAAGTGGAAGTGTTATGGTCATTAAAGGCCTTTAAAGTCTCCTCAGTAGAATCAAATTTGACTTTTGCTGCCTCAATCAGTTTCTATAGGATCTCTTCTTGGGGACCCCTCTGTCCTCTTGGTTTTAATTTTTAAAATTAAATTCTTTAAGCCTACAATTTGTTTTTTGTATAGCCTACAATAAATTAATGGTAGTTAGAGAAATGCTTGTGAAAAAATAATAAAATGATTTAATATGGTTATCAGCGTTAAAGTTTATAAAAAAAAAGTTACTGGTCTTTCAACATGTTAATTTCTTTGCAGACTAGTTTATTTACTAGTCCGCAAACAATATCACTTATCCGTTTGAAATTTAACAGTAAACATGTTTGTACATCACTTAATATCATTTTCATGCTTCAAAATAACATATTTATTAGTTTATTTTGAAGAAAACATGATTAATTATAGCAAGCTGATGAGATACTAAATTAGTGTATTATAATAAAAAAAGTAAATGCGCAAAATTGAAGCTTTTTCCAAATAAAATTCAGAAAAATAAACAATACTAACTCATAGTAAGGGGTCTGTTTAGGTTTTTCTGAGAGGTACCTATTTTGTGAAAATTTAGACATAATTTGTAAAAAATTAAAAATTATATTAAAAAATCAACACAAAAATATGGATTTATCGTTTTTTAAAGGATGTAAAAATAAAATTTTAAGAAAAAGTATTTTGTGAAACTGCCGTTTTTCCTGAAGTTGAATTTCTGAAGTACCGCTAAACAGTAGTAAATTCTGCCTGGACAGACCCCTGATAGTGTACAATATATTTTGTTTTTTTCCCCTCATCAAAATCTAGTCATTCATAATTTGCCAGCCTCTGATTCTGAAATACAAGACTTCAACTTATTTTTCTCATACGGGATATCCTTTTCTTTATTTCATGCATTATCCATTTTTTTTTGCCATTCTTTCTATAATCAAACCTAAAAAAAATGAAGAAAATAAGTTAACTAAGATATATTTCAAAAGTGCTCTATTAAATTATTCCATTACATCAGGGGTGTCAAACTCGCGGCCCGCGGGCCACATGCGTCCCGAGATGAACATTTTGCGGCCCAGTCAATATATCCGACTCAAAGTAAAAATAAAATAGAAATGTGAATTAGAAAGAAAAGTAGCATATAAAATTATAATATACTTTATTTATAAACCATACGGATCATTTTAAATTGTACGCGTGAAAATGTAAAATTTTAATTGGCTTATGGCACCTGCCATTCCAGGTATACTGCATAGTATTAAAAATACGCAGAAAAAATTTAAAATCTTAGAACAGAATTTGAAACAAGGTTTAAAGATTTTAATTCTTTGGAAGACAAATTTTGTTTGTTTTAGTCGATTATCTCAATAAATATAGACTCAGTGCCCAGTAATATGCAAATGGAAGTGATTGAGATTCAGTGCGACTCAAATTTGAAGGCAAAATTCATTGAAGTGGGTATGCCTGAATTTTACAAATATTTGCCGGCAAGGTTTGAAAATACTCGAAAATTCGCATTTGAAATTATTTCCATGTTTGGAAGTACTTATTCAGTGCGAGCAATTATTTTCTGTTATGAAAGGAAATAAATCTCCTGTTCGAAACCATATTAGTAACGCTCACGTTGGGTCAATTTTGAAAGTAGTCAGGGCCAATAAAATTTCTCCCGAAATAGGAAAGATAATAACAGAGAAGAGATGTCAAGTATCATACAATAATTTAACTTTATATATGTTTATTACAATCAGGGGTCTGTCCAGGCCATATTTACTACCGTTTAGCGCAGGGTTGGGTTTTTGACGTCAAAAAGTGGTTTTTGACATGACAAGGGTATAATACTGGTTTAAACCGTCAAAAACCCGTCAAAAATGTCAAAAACTGAAGTTTGCAAGAAAATATATAAACTTCAAAACTNCAGGGGTCTGTCCAGGCCATATTTACTACCGTTTAGCGGTACCTTCACAAATTTAACTTTACGAAAAACGGTAGTTTCACAAAATACTTTTTCTTAAAATTTTACTTTTGTATCTTGTATTTTTGTGTTGACTTTTTATTATAATTTTTAATTTTTCACAAATTATGTCCAGATTTTCACAAAATAGGTACCTCTCAGAAAAACCTAGACAGACCCCTGACAATGTATTATTCAAAATAAAGATATTTGTTTCTATGAACATTGATTTTTTTTTGCGGCCCACCTAAAGTTAAGCATTGTTTATTTGGCCCAAGTTAGCTTTTGAGTTTGACACCCCTGCATTACATCCTTTATCATACTATTCCAGCTCAATGAATTTGCTGTAGTTCCACTATCAGTTAACTATCAACTTGCCAAGTCTCCTGTTTGCTAACGAAGACTCCTGTATTTTACGACTATCCCCTGTTTACCTATATATTCTAAAATTTCTCTGTATTTGTTAAAGAAATCTGAAAAAAAGAAATTTGTGATAAAATATCGGTCAATGGCAAAAATGCTAATCTATTTCTCAACAGATGGTGTTATTGAAGTATGTTTAGTGTTATTAGTTTAAATAATGGTTTTAAAAAAATCTTTGTTAGATTAAGATTTATATACATATTTTTGACTTCACTAACTGAATGAAAGTGCTTATATTATTTCCAATTTTGAATTTCTCCTCTTGACTTACATGATTATGCCTGATGTATCAAAACTTTACTCGTAGCCTAAAAAAATGTCGCCAGTAAAATCTCTGTTATTTTATTTCTCCAATGTTGGCAAGTATGTTAACAGATTCATTGGTGGTCCCATGGACCTGTGATTCTTATTTCATAGCGGTCCAAGGGAGGATTTAGTGGTCTTGCACCATTGGACCACCAATGATTTTGACAACCCATTCCACCAATGATTTTTACATTCGTGTATCAATTGGTTAACATGGTAATGCAATACGTTAAAAATAAATGCAAATAGGAAGTATGTATGTAAAAAAAATATCTCCTGAATAAAAACCCATTACATGTATGTTTAAATATAAAAGTATTGCATATAAATTCATGCAAAACATGTAATTGTTAAAAAACTACAGAGCGTCTTATAATTTGATCTAATTATTACAATATAATATTATAATACCTGATATAATAAATATTCTATATTTATATAATATATTCTCTAATTTATCCAATCGTCTAATTTATATGATATATCGCCTAATTTAACCAATTAATACACGACCGTAAACGAGTGCAAATCGGGTTCAGTCGCGTAAAAATTAAAAAAAAGCTGCATAGTATCACCTGATAATAAAGATTTTACATAGAATCTTAATTTAACCAATTAATACACGACCGTAAACGAGTGCAAATCGGTTTCAGTCGCGTAAAAATAAAAAAAAGCTGCATAGTATCACCTGATAATAAAGATTTTACATAGAATCTTAATTTAACCAATTAATACACGACCGTAAACGAGTGCAAATCGGTTTCAGTCGCGTAAAAATAAAAAAAAGCTGCATAGTATCACCTGATAATAAAGATTTTACATAGAATCTTAATTTAACCAATTAATACACGACCGTAAACGAGTGCAAATCGGTTTCAGTCGCGTAAAAATAAAAAAAAGCTGCATAGTATCACCTGATAATAAAGATTTTACATAGAATCTTAATTTAACCAATTAATACACGACCGTAAACGAGTGCAAATCGGTTTCAGTCGCGTAACAATAAAAAAAGCTGCATAGTATCACCTGTTAATAAAGATTTTACATAGAATCTTAGAGTGTGTCTAATAATTTGGCTATGGACTGTAGGTCTGATTTAAAAAGAGCAACATTAAATAAAACATACCTGTACTTTTATTGAATGTGTAATATTGTTTTGTAGCCAATGGAAGATATGGATACTAATGAGGTAGCTGAAGGTTTACATGAAATTGAGCTGACCAGTATAACGAAAGAAGGTTATCCGAAAGGGGCTCCAGATCAGTTTAAACTTCTACAAGTTTTAGGTCAAGGTTCATTTGGAAAAGTATGATTTTTTACTTTCAAATTTTGTGATGTTTCTGGTTCTATGTTAAAAAAATCTAAAATGTTAAAAAAGAAATTTTTTTCTTTAAACGCATTTATTGTTTTAGCTTTTTTCAATTCCTACTTATTAGTTCTCTCCCTCTTCAAATCTTTCATAAAATACTTTTTTATTCATCCACTCAAGTTCAAATACATTCTTTTTTTTTTGAACTTGTAGTTTATGATGACACTTGATGCATTAATTCAATTTAATTGATTAATTTTATAGGGGAGAAAAGAAATTTTAATTATTTAATAAACTAAAATAAAATGTTGACCTTATTGACTTTAATATTTTTTATATTATTTGTTTTGGTATCCGGTAAGTTATTAGATTTTTTGAAGCATTTTAAAAATACAATGCTTTTTTGTGGAAAACTGTGTCTTACAGATGTAAATTTGTTTTAAATAGCTGCTTGTAGTTTGTTTTACTTCAGAAAAGTAAGCAATGCATTATGATGTTTGGTTTTAAATTAAAAGTTCAAAATATTTATCTAAAATTTCATTAATGTATTTCTGATCATTTTTTCTAAATGCTAGTTTAACAAACTGATAAATATTATTAACTGACTTAAACAAACGTACGTACCAGTTCTTAATTTGATGGAAGATGTTTATCACAGGGTTGCCTCAAAAGCTTAACTTGCTGTTGGAAGTTAAAATATCGGTGAGAGTGTGGCGAGCACCGCAGATACAATACTAGGTCCAATATTATGGTGTGTAGCATTTTTAAAAAATCCTTAAAGGTGCTTATTTTCTATTTCCATTTTATAAAAGCCCTTAAAGGTGCTTTTTTCACGGGGTGTTTTTAGAAATTGCTTTCCTTTTCAAAATTTAGTAATTTTCCTTTTTCAAAAATGAGATTTCACTACTTATTATGCAAAAGTGGGGTTTTCACATTTCATTCAACCACATTCCATTTCGGCGTGCCATCAGCCCGTAACGCATGATAGCGCTAACCATGCTACACGTTTGATGAAATACTTGGGGGTGACTACTGAGCAAGTTCGGTGAGATTCTTGCTTTGTCGGTGAGATGTGCAACTCTACTGCATTTTGCAAGATATTCTCAATTTTAGACTTCATTTTCCACTATCTGAAATTGAACGGAAAAATCTCTACCTTTTCATGGTGGCTAATATAATCAGAAAAAGTGTTCTTACTCAGAAACTAGTTATTTTATCTTGATGACATAAAGTCTTTGAAAATTATTTTGCATATTGTTAATGTGTATAGTATACCTGCCAACTCTTCCGGATTTTCCGGAAGATTTTATTTTCATATTTAAAGTGGTAGCAATACTTATGTTATTCTAATTAACTTTTTGAATTATAATGATAATTATAAATGAGTTTGACCACCACTACATATAAATAATTACAATAAATATATAAAAGCATAATAATCCTTGCGCAAGCGAATTTCAACGGGATCAAAATATAAATATATTTTTGAGTCAGAATGTTTTTCGTTAATTGTATTACAACCACTCTGAAAATCCATTCTCGGAAAGAGTGAAAGTTGGCAGGCATGGTATAGTGGTTAAAAAAAATTTTTTTTGAGTGCTTAAAAGGTTCTTTAAAGATGCTTATTTTTTGTTGAGAGATTTAACTACGCACTCTGAATATGTAATTTAAATTTTTGTTTCAAAATTTTATATTACTTTGCTTTTTATTGATATTAATAATGTGTCATTTTTATGTTAGGTGTTTTTAGTTAAAAAGATGGTTGGACCAGATTCTGGTAAATTGTATGCCATGAAAGTATTGAAGAAAGCAACATTGAAAGGTATTATTTGACTTTCTTCTTATTTTCTTGTTAAATTTAATTTAACAGAAACATAGTATTTACCAAAGACAAAAAAAAAACCTATTTGGATATAATAAAATTTTACGTATTTTTTAAAAATGAATATGTAATATTTTTTTATTCTAATATGATGGGCGATAATCTCACATTTTCTAAGAGGAAAACACACTTATTATTTCTCATTTCGTAAATCATCATCACATAAAAAAATGATTAAAAACCTGTAAAAGAAAAGAAAACCAAATTTTTTTTAATTCTTCCCAAATAAGAATAAAAATACCACGAGCATTTTTTTCCCTCTGATATATGAAAGAGGCATCTTTCGAATGTAATTGTGGAGGAAAAATTTTTTTTAATACATTTCTATAGAAAAAAAGTTATTTGCTTCAATATTCTATATTTTTCATTCGTCTAAAAAAAAAACGAAAAATTAAGAACATTTCTTTCCCCTCCGATACGTGAAAATGCGTGTTTTAAATATAATTTTAGAGAAAAAAAATTCTCGAATTTTTGCAGAAAAGAAAATTAAAATTTTTTACTTTCTAAAGGAAATTTCTTTGTGCAGGAACTTTGTAACTAATAAATTTATGTAATATATACGAATAAATTTATGTAATATGAACCTTTTTGAAAATCATCTTTTTAATGGTATTTGTTTTTACAGACTAATTCAAGGTATTACAATGGGGCATTTGCCTATATTTTCTTACATTTTTATGAACAAAAATTTTTACAACTTAATTTATTAATTGGATTTAGATTTATTTATGATTTAATTATTTTTGATTGTATTGACTTTGATTTAATTGAAGATATTTATCCTGAAGAACTAAATTTAATTAAGACTAATTAGGATGAAACTTAAGCTTATTTTTTAGATCTGAATATCAAACTTCATGACTGAAAAATTTTCATCGGATTATACGATAAAAGGAGAGATTTTAAGTTTAATGTTATTAGTTGAACACATTTTAATTCCAATCTTTAGTTTAAGATTTTTAAGAATATTTTGCTTGGTCAAACTATTAGATTAAAATTTATTTGTAATAATAAAACAGATTTTCTTTCAGCTATTGGTAATTTCAGGATTACATTAGAGAATAATAATTTTCCTTTTAATTACTGTAATTATGATGTTTTGATTCAAAATATTCGGCCCAATCATTCAAATAATACGGCCGATATTGAAGCCCACATAATGCGGTCTATGCGGTTAAATTTAGGATTTTATGTTCCAGTTGGCAGCACCTTCTTAAAAATTTTTTTCTCATTGAATGTTTTTCTGTTTCATTTTTTCAAGATTTTTAAAAAGGGGCCAGCACTTAATTTATTTCTAAAGTTTTCTTAATGATTTGGCAATTCATATGTTATTTTGATGTGGCTATTCTAACTGTAACTTTATCTTTATTTTGTGTACTTTTAAGTCATTATTAAGACTTTGTGATTGTTTGTCATTTATTTATATTTGCATTTCATTTTAAATTTTTCTAATTGCTTTTTCTTATTTGACTTTCCATTATGGGGTTTCAGTTTTGTCAGTTTTTGGTTTCACCGCTGACGAACAGAAAGGCTCCTGTGTGTTAGCAGGAAGTGTGTCTCCTGATAAAGTATTGTCCTTCGAGCACACATATCTTTACATTTTTATGGTTTTTGTTTTCTGCAGGAGTTGTTTTTCTGACTTATGAAACTAATATTTAACATGTAATAAGTATCACACATAATTCAAATTAAATTGTTTAAAAATTCATTTTGATTAATACACAATTTTGTTTGCGTTATGTTCCACTTAAAAAATATATTTAACTTAGTTTAACTATAATAATCAATTAATTAATCTATAAGCATATTCCAAATAATCAGTTTTTTTTTATCATGTTATCATATTATGGAAGGAAGGTGGATGGATATCTTTTTGAATTGCTTATTGATAACATTAGTTAACCCTCCGCATGCAGCTCTTGCAATTTGAGCAGGATATCATCCCAATACGGGTCAGGTGAAAGAACTTTTTCCCTTTGTTTCAATACTGATCCCGCTATTTCCCCTTGTAGGTTTAAGAAAAACATCATTCAATGGTAACTTTTGCTGCTAGATGGCAATACAAGGTTCAGGAATTGCTGAGTGTCAGCGGCTTTACATGTAAAAATATTGCATGAATTTTTCACTTATAAGCCCTGCCTGCTGAAATAGTGAGCACCGTATTATATATTTTTTGAAAACTTAAAATATATTAAAATTCTTTTATAATTTTAAAACAACTGATGAGGATGTGAATTGTAACATATGAAGAAAATAATAATAAAGAAATATAAAAAAAATTGTTCCTTATTTTAGGACCGGAACGTATGAAAACTGAGTCGTACAATGAGTGTTAATAGTTGAAAAAGTTTTCATAATTATACTTTATGGAAATTTAATTACTTTTAATTTAGATAATTTAATTTAACCTTTTGTTTAAAATAATCTTTAAAAATATTTTTTTTTAAAATTGGTTTTTACTCAACTCTGACTAGATTTGCATCTGATCCCCTGGTTGTAATTATCATTTTAAGAAAAAGAAGTACCATTGGGTTGACAAAAAAATATTAGTTTTTAGTGTGAAGTAAAATTTAATTTTCCTCTATACAAAATACTAATTTTAATCACTCTTCTCTTCTGTTTGGCATTCGTGATTTGCACTTTCATAAAACGACTAGTTCTCATCAGCAAGAAGCGCTTTGAATTTATCGATTGCCTAAATTTTTTCCATTTAAAAAATTACGTCAACTTCAATGAAAATTATAATCCTATGGTGCAATTGGGAATCTCAAAAGAATCATGTTCTACGACATCTTTAACAATACTTAAAATATTACTAAAGATGATTTAGAGTCACATATTCCATGTAGCCCAGTATTTTCACCATCAGATTATCCTTTATTTTAATGTCTATAGAACTTTTTAAATTGGAAAAACTTGAACATGGAGCGTAGCTTTTTTTAAAAGGACTTAAAAGTGCTTTTTTCATTGGGTGTTTTTAAAAATGACTTAATTTTTCCTTTTCGAAAATGAGATTTTTTTCTTTGCCGTGTTGATTTTTGCCGCGTATTATGCGTTGCTTTTCACATAGTTCGCATGCAAGTTTTTACAACCACAATAATTTAACATGTTTGATGAAATACTAGCTACGGAAGATGAGATTATTGCACTCTCATGGTGCAACCCTGCTGTATTTCAGGCCTCTGCTCAATCATTTTATAATATATTGAAGTCTTTGAAAATTATTTTGCATTTTGTTAAAGTATATAGTGCTTTAAAAAGTACTTATTTTTTGTTGAAAGATTTGGCTGTTCAATAATAACGATCACAAATCGAACTTGGTTGACTTATTTTGCTAATTAGGATCAGAAGTTAGTGAGCGCTGGATCATAAAATTAATAGAAAAATGGCAAATGGTCATCAAACAAAATGAAAAATAATGATTATTTCTTTGTGTAAAAAAAATTGAGCCTCTTTTCACACTAAAAAAAAAACCGAAATTACAATCTTGACAACTGAAAGAATTATTCTTTGATTGTTCTAAAAAGAAAGTTGGACAAAAAAAATAACTGTTCTGTGTACAAAAATAATTTTACCTTTCACTCATCAGGTTCATTATTTTATAAGTTGCATAAAATAATAATCTAAAATTAAATTTCAGAACAGTTAGTATAAGATAGAACTTATTATATTTTCATTATTGCACATTTTCTACAATTTCAGAAATGCATTACAATTTATTTTTTATATTATATGCAGGGTATCTGCGCACCTGGAAAGTCTTGAAAAATCGTGGAAAGTCATGGATTTCGGTATTGAACGAAATTTGTCATGAAATGTCATGTTTCTAACTATTTTTTTAAAAAAAATCATGGAAAGTCATGGATTCAGGTTGCCAAAAAATCTAATTTTTGAAATGGAATTTACCCCCCCCTCCAATTTCATAGTGCACCGATGTTCCTAATATCTGAATTTGTAACAAAATCCCCACTCATAGTCATATTCTATTAAAATATTAAAAGCTTTTATCCTGTTCTTCAAAAATTATGGTGTTCTGTCAAAAAATGAAAGAATAAACAATTCTAGAGCGAATAATCTTTTAAACTTCCCTGATTTCAGAATTTTTTTATCTGTTTTTTATTTTTTTATTTTATCAATTTAAAATTCTAGTTTTGGCTTTTTATATTACACTTACTTTAAAGAAGAAATAACTTAAAATAATAGTGCTAATTTGAAACAAACAACATTATTTAAACATTTGACTTATGATATTGGTTTAAAGAAAATTATTTCAATGAATTTTATAACTGTGAATTTTAAATATGAATTTTATAATTTATATACACTGTTTGTATAAAATACAGTATAAAATGGCTCTATATTGAAATATAAATAAATATATAAGAATTTATTGGTTTCTAATCACCTGGAATTACTTTCTTTAGCTTAATAAAAATATATTAAACAGTACTTATCAAAGGTTGTTTTGGGTCATTGCTATTTGGTACATTTTGTGCAAAAACTATTTAACCATTAAAAAAATTTTTATTCATTAAAAGCGTTATTTTCTGCAAGCTAAACATATTGTTGCCTCCACATCTATTCAAGATGATATATCAAAAAAATAAAATTTTAAGTGAAATTCTTCACTGTATTGACTAATGCACTAATATTGACACTTTTCATGTACAGTACAGAACCCGTTATCCGGAAATCAGAAAACCGGAAAACCAAAAAACCGGAACGAAATTCGATAAATTTTCCCGCAATTTCAAAAAAATATATATTTTTTTTCCTCACAAGATTTTAGGATTTTTCTTTCTTTTTTTAAAGGTGTTTACCTTACCATCATTTTGGAAATAATCATTAGTNACTGGAAAACCTGGAAAAATCAGGGAAATTTGAAACTTGAGTTGAGTGGGAATCCTGTCATGAAAAATTTCTGTAATTATTTTTGGAAAATCATAAAAAGTCATGGACATGAAAATCTGCAATTTACCAGATACTCTGTATATGTTGCAGTCTGGTAGAAAAATTTGTGCTTAATTTAATGTTATTTTTAATTTATTTGATTGATTATATTTTTTTGTTTCTAATAGTCACTAACAGGTGGTAATTTCCGTCCCTTTATCGTTTCATTTTCCAATCTTTGTGATATTAGACCAATAAAATTACAATTGAGGATTTTTTCTTTAGTGCGAGACAGAATGCGAACGAAGATGGAACGAGATATTTTAGCTGACATTCGACATCCCTTTATTGTGAAACTTCATTATGGTATGATTATTATAAATCTTAAACATTTGATTGTTAATTTCTGAATGAATTTGTTATTTCGTTTTGTAGTTTTAAATAAGGTGTTTAATTTCTGTTAGACATGAGATAAATATATTTAAATGCTAGCAAGTTAGTTTTGTATTTTAAATTGCAATTATCTAAGTTTTAATGTAAAAATCTGTTACATTTTTTTTTGGGTTTTGCCAGGAGAGTGGTCAACATCAACATTCTTTTATGGTTGTGATTGTCAAATTTATTTTATTGGACATTGTGAAAATTGTTTGTGTTTTTCATATTTTGAAAATAAAGAAATAAGAAGTTCAGAAGTGAAAGAAAATACACCCTTTTTTTTCAGAGCTTAAAAACTTAAAACTTCCTCTTCTGAATCAATTTACTCTTTCTCCCTCTTTTGAACTTGTGATTTCCGACTCACTGTTCTTCTTACTCGAACCTTGTTCCTTTAAATGCATAGTCTGGCAGTTCTATTAACTGAGAGTTCTTAATAGAAAATCTTGATCAGTGCTTGCAAATTATTACCTTATCATCATAGAATGATAACCATTATAATTATATAATCATTGATGATAATTATGATTATAATCATGATCATAAATCCCTGTCAGGGGTCTGTCCTGGAAAAATTTACTACTTTTTAGCGGTATCTTCACAAATTCAACTTCAGGAAGAACGATAGTTTTACAAAATGCTTTTAAAAAGGCAAGTTCTAGGATTCTCCTCTCCGCTTCTTAAAATTTTGTTTTTGTATCCCCGTAAGAAACGATAAATCCCGTGTTAATTCTGCATTTTGCAGACTTGCAATGAAACCCTCTCTCGCAGATTGCTATTATGACGTGGTGGAAGGATTAGCTTGCCACTGGGTTTGTAAGAGAGAACACACCGGGATCCCAAAATGTCGTGGGAGAAAAGGAGCATCAGCCACTCTGTCCCTTAATTGTGGTGGAAAAAAAGGCGCTAGTACCATGCCAACCCTATTCTCGTGCAATCTATGGAAAAGAGGAGCTTTTCTGCTAGATGTCTTATACGATTAGGTAGCACGTGTTTGGTCAAATAGTGCGGTATGGTAAGCCTAACCAGTCAGTTACGTCATATTATAGCGAACTTTTTTATCTCAGATTTTTTAAAAAATAAAGCGAAGAGGCTCTCCCTCTGTACATTTTACAGAAGTCTAACATTATTCTAAATTCATTCTAACAGACCTTTATTTTTTAATGAAAATTTGTTTTTTTATGTGAACTTTTTTCTGTATGACCCAGTGGGACATGTTCTCATAATGAAAACACGTTTTAGTCCAAGTATTATTAAATTCATGTTTTTTTTAAATATAAAATTCAAGTAACTATGGACAATGATTTTTATGGATTTTTAAATTTGGATACAATTTTAAGCCCAAAGTTCTACAATAGCTGAATTATTTTTGAATATATGTGGGGAAACATATAGAAATTTACCAGTCATAAATGATTTTTATTTGTAGTGACGATTTTTGGAAATATTTTCTTACTTTAACATATTTTTGTGTTGATTTTTTAATATAATTTTTAACTGACAAATTATGTCTCAATTTTTTACAAAATAGGCACCTCTCAAAAAAACCTTAACAGACCCCTGCCTGCTTTCATCTAGAATGATTGCAATCAAGCAATCAATACTATTTTTATTTGACCTCTTAACATATATTTCAGAAAAATGGACCAAAAGTGGAAAATTTTTTTGACTGTATAATTTTGTTCTTTATACTATTATAAAAGTTCGAAAATGGTTTTTTATTACAAAAATAAAATTTTGAATGCAATAGCTACTGTATTTATAATTATTACATAAAAAAGTAATGGATTATACACACATCTTATTCAATTATAGCAAATTAAACAAAATTTTGAAGCTAAATATAATATTGCTAGTATAATATAATATAAAAACACAACAATATGATTTTCAATACATTTTACAAATCTGGAAAAGGATTAAAACATCTGTTTCTCAAATTCTTTTTCTCAATTTTCTTTCTTTTTTCTGTGAGATTGGAGGTAGACTTTATTATTTTTCTTGATCATATCTCTTGCATTAGTTTGTTTTTATATTCGAAATGAACGGCAGACTGTTTAGTATGTTTTTATGATTAATAAATTTGTGTGTTCTTTTTCAGCCTTTCAAACTGAAGGGAAGCTATATTTAATCTTAGATTTTTTAAAAGGTGGCGATCTCTTTACTAGACTTAGCAAAGAAGTGAGTACATTTTTTTTCCTTTAAATAATATGTGCAGCATGTTTTTCTAAATGTGCATTTGATTTGAATTAACTCACTAGTTACAAAAAGGAAAGTTGTGATGGCATGCACGTTTTTGGGAAGAGGTCGGCAGGGGTTGTCATAAAAACACAATCTTTTCTACCTCTCTGTACCTCAAAGGTTTTGTCCAGGAAGAGAAACAGAATACATAAACTAATTACAAAAGGAAAGCAATGTACCTACTTAAAAATATTTCAAACCAAAGCACACTTTCTGAAAATCTTAAATCAAACTGAAAACAAACAACGCCCACATTTAATGCGTTGAAAGAAGAAAAAAAGGAAAGCAAGCTGGTACAATGTCAGCTTTGGTTGTCATTTTTATAGTTTTTATATTTTTCCTTTTTTTCTTCTTTAAAATTTTCTATTTACTTCTCCAGGGTTGCCACTCCACAGGGAAAACCTGGAAAATACAGGGAATTTAAAAATCACGTAAAATAACAGGGAAAATGCTGGGAATTTTGATTTTTTCTTTACAAACGGGGAAAATACAGGTAATTTTGTTTCTTATTTTTTTCTTTTAAAAATTTATGAGCACTCAAAGCGTAATCTAAGGGTTATTTAACCATGATATTTCAACTATAATAAACTATTTCATTTACTATAGCATTATTTAAGTATGCTCAGCCGTTTTTCCAGCAATTAAGACTAATAAATATAGTTATCGTAATATAGCTTACACAAGAGCACAGCAATTGTTGTTTCCTATTAATATATTGTGTATAATATGTACAGGGAAAACACGGGGAATTTTTTTTCAGATTTGAGTGGCAACCCTGCTCTCTGTGTTGCTTATGATTTATCTGTTATTAGTACGATTTCTTAATCAACTTTATGGTTGAGTTTTATAAATTGCAGAGAGAACTTCTGTGCTTTCCCATAATTACCAAGTGTTACAGTTAGGACATTTTTTTTGTTTGCAACTAATGTACGTTAATTTTTTCTACTCCTTAGACAATTCTAAAAACAGTGAGTAAAAAAACAATTGGATAGAAACACGAAATAAAAAAACAAGGAAATCGAAGCAAAAAAAGAGCAAAGAAAAGACAATAAGGGGTAGTTGTAATTTAACATAAAACTAGAACATTGATTCCAAGTGATTATCATTTTATAATGAAGTATGAAATTTCATTGTCCAATCGTTACTTTTTTATTTGTTTAATCCACACATAATTTTATTAATATCTATGTTGAATTAATTAGTATATACACCATAAAATTTGCACTAATTTGATCTTCAGAAACTGTATATGACTACTGATAGCTAGTTTGGAAAGTTGGTATCATAAATCCATGTTATTTTCTGATTGTTTTTTTTAGCTCTTTCTGCATATGTTAAGCCCTTAAAGGTGCTTTATTTATTCAGGGTTTGTAAAATGTGCTACATTTTCTATATTTTAAAAAGAGATTTTTTTCCTTTGCCGCGTCGATTGTTGTTCTAAATTACAAAAACTGCATGATTTTCACAATTTTCTCTGCTTATTAATTAGAAACTAGTTATTTTATTATGACCATGTAAAGTTTTTGAAAATGTTTTTGAATTTTATTGATTTTAAGTTTATAAATTAAGAACTTTAATCGATAGAAAAATATAATTTTTATTACTTCACCGATACTAATTACAATTTTTTTTTTAGAAAGTGATTTAAAATATATCTTTTGAGTACTTTTACAGTATTTTAAAAGGTGGTTATTTTTGTTGAAAAATCTGGTTTTGCACCCTGATAATCTCCTCTTTTCATTAATCTTTATTATTTCCCATGTTTTCTCTATATTTTTAAGTAAAATAATTTTTTTTTTAATAAAAAGTATCAGTTTTTCCTTCTTAAACAAATTCTAATAATTAAAAGCATTTAATTTTCTGCAAATATATTAGAAAGTGCTTATATGGCAAATATTTATATAAATATTACCATATTTGCTGTCTAAATACATGTGCAGCCCTTTGTTAGTCAAGCTGTTATGCAACTGCTGTGCAACACTCAAAAATGTTCTGCCCCTCTTCTCAAATTTAAAGTTGTAATTTTCATATGTGTGAATAAATTTTTTTGTTTTTGAATATTTAATCGGAATAGCTAAGCTTAAGCAATGCTGTCTCTAAATTATTTAATTTGCATTAACTTTAGAAGAACTTAGTGTTTTATTAGGTGAGGTTAATTATTGTTATGATATATTTATCTCAAATTTCTAATTGAAATAATTAGATTTGTGTTAAAACCATTCTCTAATGATGTAAATAATTTTTCAGGTTATGTTTACTGAAGAAGATGTAAAATTTTATTTGGCTGAACTTGCTCTAGCATTAGATCATTTGCATAGTTTAGGTATCATTTACAGAGATTTGAAACCAGAAAAGTAATAAATATTTTTTATTATATGTTTATGTATTGAATGTGCTTTCTGTTTGTGTTTATATGGTTTTTTATGGTTGATTTCCCAATTCGTTGTATCACTTTTCTTGTCTATAATGAAGCCAGTTTTGTCACTAACCTTAAACACTTTATGAACCCACTCCTTTGGGGTCACTCTAGTTTAGGAGATTATTTTTATATTTTATTTTATAACTGTCGTTGAATAGCCGCCCCAATTTTTGGGTTTACGACTACTAATGTGCATTGTAATTTTGAACCCAACCCAGAAGGCAAGAATACTCCTGTATCAGTACCCACAGAGGTGTAATTTGTTAGGGGAACCGCCAGATTTAACGTGCACCAGTCACCATTTGCACACCTAATGAGACCTATGATGACGAAACTATTTTTAAGGGTCTTAAAATAGTATTCCTGCCCAATGTTGGCAGATCAAGGAGGTTAAGGTTTTGTGATCGTCAGCACTATTGTTGTAATGTGCATAGGTCGCCTATCCACTAGCTTCACTTCCTAGCCAAGCTAGTGGACATCTGAAGCTGCGGATCCCAGTTTTTCACAATGCAAGGTTTCTACGGAGAACAAGGAAAACTTGGAATTATCAGGGAATTTTATTTTAACTCCAAAAATCTAGTCAGGGAATGTTTTTCACAAAAACCTGGAATGTTCCTAGATCATACCTGGAAAATAACCTGTCTTAAAATTGTCAGTAACAGTAATCAGTTATTGAGATTCGAGTTAAATAATTCTAACATCAATTACAATTGTTTGTTGTAAAAATTTTGCATTCTTTCTCAAACTCCTCATTAAATGATATTTTTTTTTATCCAGAAATTCCAATACTTCACATTACAAATAATAGAATCTGATGAAAATATGGTCTTTATTGACCTGGAAATGTCGGGGAATTTTTTTTCTTTCTATTATTGAGTGGGAACCATGCAATGACAGTTGAGCCATCACGACTCTGTTAAGGGTTTTATACAGTGCACATTTTTCCTTATTATTTAATTTTTTTTAAAAAAAAAGAGATTACTTAAAATCATTTTATCCTCACTGTCTACTATTGTAAAAATGTCTTAATACCAAAGTGTAAAAACGATGTGTTTATTTTTCAGCATTCTTCTTGATGCAGATGGACATATCAGCCTAACAGACTTTGGCCTTTGTAAAGAAGCTCTTAGTGATCAAAAGGCCTATTCATTCTGTGGTACTGTGGAATACATGGCTCCTGAAGTTATCAACAGAAAAGGCCACACTACGGCCGCTGACTGGTGGTCATTTGGCGTCTTAATGGTATGTTCTTTACTTTTAATCTCGTAGGTAGTATCTAAAATTTATATAATATAAGAATGTTGAAAGGCCAATAAATGTTCATATTTTAGTTTGTAACAAAATTTATTTAGTTTGTACACATATTATATATAATATAATATGTGTGCATACATACTATATTATATATAATATGTGTAAGCACACATGTTAAATATATATATATATATATAATACAGTACAGAACCCGTTATCCGGAAATCAGAAAACCGGAAAACCAAAAAACTGGAACGAAATTTGATAAATTTTCCCGCCTTTTTTTTTTTTTAAAAAAAAATGTTTTTTTCATCAAAGATTTTAGGAAAGATTTCTTTCTCTTTTGAAAGATGTTTACCTTACCATCAGTTTGGAAATAATCATTAGTGAATTACTTCATCGTTTTTTCTTCTTTTTAAGATTATTTACAAATATATATATTTTTTTAGTTGGATTTAAAAATAAAAAAAAATGCTTTTTGTAGCGATTCAGAAAACCGGAAAAATCAGTTATCCGGAATAGCAATGGTCCCGATTGTTCCGGATAATCGATTCTCTACTGTATTTAAGAAAAATTAATAAATTTTATTTCCTGCACATAAGCTGCGAATACATAGAACCCATAAAATAAGATAAAAATATAAAGAAAACGAGTATTTAAAGAGAAGAAAAAAACTTGTGGCTAATTTTTTTTTAAATGAAAAAAGAAAAGAAAGAATGAAAAAAACTTGAAAACAAAATAAGAGAAAGATATAATTTCAGTGTCAGCTCTACCTGCAATAATGAAATCCCTTCTAGATCAGTAGTATAGTTTTTTTAGACTGTGAAAGTTGTATGGAATGACCATTAAAAATAAAAGGGAGCCTAAGTACAACTTTGGATACTTATTCAGGACACTAGATAAGAACTACACATTTTTGGCATTAATTCTTGATTTTATGTATTTTGTTTTTAAAATAGGAAGGTTGAATGAACAAGGCTTACTTCCTTCTATCTATTATTATCAACCTTTCAGAGTTGGCAAGGTTTAGGACAGAATGGATTTATCCATGATTTAAACCAGGGTTTAAACCGTCCTCTCCCAAACCCCTTTGTCCAAAACTGTCTTAAACTTTCCAAAGCCCTTTTATTCAAAATATGTCACAATTTGAAAAAAAAAATAAATAATATTGTGAAAAATAAAAGGTTAATTTTTGACCAAGAAACAAAATGAAGACACATTTTTGTTTTATTAAAAAGTTTATTATTATTTTTAATATTGCATCATTTGTCCTTAAGCTAAAAAATAATTTATCAGTGCTACAAGCATATTTATTCATATTTAAAGGATTAGGTATTCACTTTTGTTGTTCAATGAATTGTTTAGCTTCAAAAGTTATAAATCTTTTCCTGTTATATTATATTATCTTCCTTTAATAAGTTAAAACAAATTGTATAAAAAATATAAAATACTTATTATATTTATTAATCTAAGTAATTATTATGTGTACAATGATAACACATATAGGATTTTTACCTTTTACCAAACTTCAAAGTTTTTGGACACTTTAAGACAGTTTAGGACAGTTTTTGTCAGTTTAGTACAGTAAAATTCACAATTCTTGTCCAAAACCTGTTTAGGACATTGAAAATCTCAACGTTGCAACCTTTAAATGTATTTAGTTATGGCTTTTTAATAAATGAATTATTGACAATTGTGACAGTTAAATTAAATTTTGAATCTTAATTGTTGTAGGACCAGCTTTTTAATAGATCATCTTAAAAATATTTATTACTTTCTAATTTTGAATGTAATATTAATATTTTCTATTTGTATTGTTATTAGATTTTTCAAGTGCTTAATATTTCCTAGAAACCTGCTCAATTATTATTTTACTTGTGCGATATTGTTTTTTTTTATAATTACGTATTTTTAGTATGAAAAGACTTCTACTTTATTTTCCAGTTTGAAATGCTGACTGGTGCCTTGCCTTTTCAAGGGTCAAATAGGAAGGAAACAATGATGCAGATTTTAAAGTAAATTCTCATTCATAATTTATATCATTTTTTTAAAATATTAATTTTTAAAATGATTTGCATACTGCCAAGTCTCCCATTTCTTAACGAAGACTCCTGTAATTTACGACTATCTCCTGTTTATCCGGTATATTCTCAAATTACTCTCTATTTGTTGAAGAAATTTAAAAAGAAAAAAAAATGGTGATAAAATATCCACTGATGGCAAAAATACTTCTCTTATTCATTAAGAGATGGTGCTATTGCCAGTAGTGCAGTATGTTAAGTGTTACTAGTTTAAGTCGAGCCGTAATGGTTGAGGGGATCAAGCGTTTGCGTTCCAATGAGTTGAACAGTTCAAATTCCAGCTATGACTGTTCGATACGAATTCCGCATCCAACTTGCACCTACCACAATGCTGGCATAAAATATTCTCAGTGGCAGACGGATCACTGGTTAGAGTCCCTTTGCCGTCAAGCTAACCGTGGGTGGTTTTCTTCTCCATGTAACTCAAATGCGGGTTAGTTTCATCAAAATGTCCTCCACGAAAGCAAATTTCTCCCAATACTTGATCCAGGAGTTCCCTTGTCTTCTGGATTGGGTTCAAAATTACAGGACTACAGAGTTTAACATCAGTAGTTGTAAACACTAAACTGTTTCGGATGTTCACCTCCGGTTATAAAATAAAATATAATTTAAGTAATTATAAATAATGGTTTAAAAAAATCCTCTTTAGATTAAGATTTATATACATATTTTTTACTTTGCTAAATGTAAGTGCTTCTTTATTATTTCCAATTTTAAATTTCTCTTTTTGATTTACATGATTATGCATGATGTATTAAATATTTACTCGTAGCCTAAAAAATGTCACTTTTAAAATCTCCATTATTTTATTTCTCCAATGTTGGCAGGTATGGATTTGTATATCAGGGTGCGTAGCATTTGTAAAAAGTGCTTAAAGGTGCTTTTTTGGGAATTTCGTTTTTAAAAGCTTTTAAAAGTGCTTTTTTCAGCTGGCGTTTTTAAAAAGTGCTTTTTTTTCCGAATTTTTTTTTCTTTCTTCAGTGATATCTGGTGGATCCGATGCATTTCACGAAAAATGGGGAGTTTGCTACGTAATCATTCATGCGGACTTCATGTCGTACCCACGTTATGACTTGTGCATGCGCGCACACTTTAAACCGAGACCGGAGTGCTCCAATTCGGATAAAGAATATCAGATCCTTATGAAATGTTTTTCTTTTTAATTTATTTTAATTTTGTTCTTGTTTATTTTATTTTACTTCTAACACTTTTTTTGACGTAGGGGGTAAGGGTACTTTTGTTCTAAATTCAGGGTCAAGTTGAATTCACTCGGTGATGTGGGAAAGTACTGATTGTTTCGATTTACGCCCGTTTCTTTTCTTTTTTTTTTACGCTCAAACTGTTTATAAAAAGTTTTTGTTTTTCAATAATATCATTGATTGAATATGAATTTTTTGAGTGCTTGAAAATTTTTGTAAAGTGCTTGAAAAGTTTTTAAAAAGTGCTTATTTTTGATTCAAAGATTTGACTACGCACCCTGTATATAGATGCGTGAAATTTTATTATTACATCTGCAGAATGGCACAAGGAAATTTTAACATTAAATATACCATAACCAGTCAATAGACCTTTTAAGAACATTTGCATCGAAAATGCGCTTATCGGTTTTGCACATTTGACTGCATGACTTTTTCTAACAATCATATACAACAATCTAACAATTAATTCTATTATTATTATATTTTTTTGCTTGTTTCAAATAATACTTGTCATATATCTATTTCTACCATAGCCTGTCATTTGACTGGGAGAATAATTTATTACTTTCTAAAATTATCGGTTCAGAAATTATAATGTAATGCATGTTCAACATATTGCATTCGATTAGTTGCTTATTTCTGCAAAGACTGTAGTGTAGTACCCAAAATTTTAGATTGGCATTTTTGTGTAAAAAAAAAGTGACAAAAACTAAATGTAAGTAGCTTTTATTTTGATAGCTTTATTTCATTTCTAACTAACTGTTAGTTTTTACTGCGCATCTGTTAGTTAAGACAGCGCAAGTTCTTAAAGAATAATAATAACTATACAAATAATTATAAGAATTATAATTCTTATATATACTTATAATTATAAGAATTATAGAAATAATTTTAATTGGAAGAAATATGTTTGCAAAAAATGTACAATGGAAACACACTGTTGCAAAAAATGCGTTCGATGAAATAAAAATTCTTATTCTTTATGTTTGTAATACATTAAAATTGGCACTATACAATTTTGTTTAGTTATAATAAAGTTTTTTTTACTTTATTTCCTTCCTAACATCCATATTTCATACATTCAATTAAGGAAACATAAAATCTGGTCATTTGACTAGCTATAGTAGAAATAGATACATATTAAGTGTTAGTATGTTTATTGTTAAAATAGAGTTGCTCACTACTAAAAAAGAGCAGAAATTCTGTGTTTATTTGTGCAAATTATATTGTTTTCAAAACCTGTTTTATACTATAGTTGTAAAACTAAATGTGTTAGAATTAACTCATATAATTTCATTTTAGAGCCAAATTAGGTATGCCACAGTTCTTAAGCCCTGAAGCTCAAAGTCTGCTAAGAGCTTTGTTTAAAAGAAATCCAGCAAATAGATTAGGTTTGTTAATTTTTTTACTACTCCTGAAAACTAACATGTAAACTACATTTTATGAATAGAGAATTCTAATACAATAAATTTCCTAAAATCCTCCATATTTTCCCTCAACAGTAGAATTATTTTATCTTTTTTAATCCATTTTATGACAGTGGTTCTTATTTTAGTATTTAGTAATTAATTTTTTTATTGATTGTTATAAGTTTTGAAGTAAAAAAAGAGATCTCTCCAAAAATAAGATAAATTGCTGAATGTTGTCTGTAAGAAAATAAATTATTTAACACAGTTTTGTCGGTTGATCCCTACTTAATTGTTAATATACATTAATTTACCATTTCTTTGTGGAAAACAGTGAAATTTTTTCTAGATTGATGTAGCATGGATTTAGAATAAGTAATTCTTTTGACTTAAGCGGAGCAAGATTTGTATAAATATAATTCATGACAAAAATATCAGTTTAAAAGTTGAATATTTTTTTTACATTATTCAAAGCAGGGCTGCCATTGGAGACTAAAAAGGCGACTAAAACGACTATTTTAAAGCAATAGCAACTATGGCGACTATTTTAGTAGAAATATGAGTAAAAACAACTAATTTGCAATGATTTGCTTAAAATCGGCGACTTTTTTTAAGCCAAAGCGACTAAAATGAAGAATAGCTTCATGAGTTTCCCTCTTCCCCCACTTTTTTTGGCCGCGCTAGTGTTTTATCCTAACTTTATTATTTTCTCACTGTTTGATGTCAAAGCATGACAGACATATTTAACCAATCAGACTGATGGAATTGGAATTCGCTCTACGTGAATGCACCTCCTGCCTCAGAAAGCTAGTGTAATATCTCTGAGGATTAAGTTTTTTCCCCTCTTTTAATTTGAACGAAGTACAAAATTAGAAAAATTTTCTTTAATTACACAAAATGTGTCGTTAATTTTTTTAGAGCTATTTACATGGTGATATTCGTTTTGTCGAGTTGTGATCGTAATTTTTTTGTTAAGCATTAAAATTTGGAAATGTGTCAATTATGAAAAATAAACAAAATGAAACGGAATTAAATTGCAATATTTATTTATTTATTTTTTTTAATGTCTAAACTAAGCAGCTGTAAATTAGAACAGAGAAAGGAAATTCCAAGTTTCAAATTCAACTGTTCTGTAACAGATAAAAATAAAACTCCCTGTTTTTATGCGTAGTGTGAAAGAATATATTGTTGGAAAATCCACAAATAAATGAACATTTTTTATAAAATATGAGTATCTAAATGCATGTTATTTGAATTTTATGCTATTACAGCACAAATAATTAAAATTATATTAGAGGAGGATATGATGTTAGCAACTATTTTATATATCTTTTAGACTATTTAGGAGACTTTTTTTCATATATGATGCAACTAAAGCAACTATTTTTCTTGCTTTCATCCAGTGGCAGCCCTGTCAAAGTCAATTTTCTGAATAAATTAAAAGCTTTTTTTTTTCTATCTTCCAAATATCTAGTCTCATTTATTAGTTCATTTTTTTTTTTTTATAAAACTTTCTTTTCTTTAAATTTTCACTATTAATATTTTAACTTCTTATCTTAACCTCAAATTATGTAAATTTGTCAGTGTTAACAATATTTTAAGTTGCAAAATCAGACACAAAACTGGAATTTGATAAAACAGGATTCTACTGCATATAAATTTTGCTATATAATGTTCTTTAAAATGATATAAAAATTTGTATATCTTACTATTAAAAACTTTTTGATTATTTGGAAATAAAATAATGAAAAATAGTCATTAAAATTTAATTTAGCATCTTTGGACAGACAAGTTTTAAAATTCTAAAAGTTCTCAAGATATATGCAAATAGTAACTTTAAAGTGTCTTGACCGTGTTCCTGACCAAAACATTGCGACTCATAACAGTCATTAAAAGTAAACGATTCAGAGAAAGTATATTTTTGTATCTTATTTCATACTCTGCACTATAATTAATTGACATATTTTAGATCACACCTCTTAAAGATTGAGTCTTAGTTTGGATCAAAAGTTGTTTCGTCTACTAAGATGGTTCAGGGAGTTAAATATGCTAATTAACTGGTGCAATGCATATTTTAAGTTATGTACTTTCTTTGAATGTTGATTCCTCGCCTGGATAGAGCCTTCATTGCTATTCTTAATTTTTACATATTTCTATTTATGTGAATGAAAAGCTTTTTGACTTACATCTTGCACATAATTTTTTAAGATTATTTTTTAAATGACAATTTTTGATTGCAAATTTTTACACCATTATTCTATTCTCTATTTTAATGATATTCTGAATTTGAGCAGAACCAGTTAAATAGTTTTTGAAAAATAAATTTTTTTCAAAAGATCAAGAACTATTTGAGTGATGTTTTGTATTCTGTCATTTAATACTATGCAGTTATGAGTGATGTAAAAATTTTCTTATATCTTTTTTGTTGCTTGGTTTTAAAAAGTCTTCAAAAGTTAATTTTTTGCTTGAAATTACCCTTAAACAAGCTAGTTTTATAATCGTGTGCAGAAATCTTTTTTTTTTGCATAAATAGTCTTATAGGCATGATGAAATACGCTAAAAGTAAATGTAATATTTAAGTATTAAAAGTAAATTAATATTCTCTAAACTATTTGGACCATTGTTTTTTGATCTCTTTAATATTTTGAAATGCTGAATCCGTGAAATTTTGATGATAAGATCAAAACTGGTTCACCTCAAAAACTGGTTCACTGCTTCATTCAAATTTACAGTTACATGTTATATTTTCAACTTCTGATAATTCATCAAGTTATAGAAACTTTACTAACATCATCATCGTCATAGTTGGCCAGACAGCCCAATGCGGGCCAATGTCTTCCTCTGAAGATTTCTCCATAACGACTTCCGATTTATCTTTTATCTTAACATGAAGAAGGAAAAACAAAGAGTAGAATTTTCAAATATTTGCTGAAAACTATTAGGTTTATACATTCTTAATTATTTTGACCCTATATATTTAACTTGAAACTTTTTTTTCTTCTTAACTTTCTTTCTTCTTAACTTATAATGCTTTGATTTCTATTTTTATGTTAAAGATATTTAAATATTGAATTTTTCAGTAAGCAATGATTTATGAGTTTTTTACATTTGAAGATAACACAAACCTTGAAACATGAGGTATAGGTGTTTCATTTCACTAATCTTACCTTCTAAACATGACAATCTAATGCCCACTGACGGTTCTTCACGTCGCATTTTAACCTGCATAGCAAAACCGGTTTATCCATGCTAATGGATAGGGGAGAAGCATTATCCTTAACCGCCAATGGGTTAAAATAAAAATGCTGAAGAAAGGGCATTAGAAATGATATCCAACAAACTTCTATTGCTTTAGAGATTGTAAAGTTATTAGAATTGTGTTACATGGATCTTCTAACAGGGTTGCAACAGGCAACTATTTTTGGTATGCCTGAAAATGCTTTCTTAATGAAAAGTATTTTTTTTTAATGAATTTTGCTTTTTAAAAAAAATTTAATTTTCTGCAAATATGCTAATTTTTTTAATATAAAAATTTAGTTCTAGAGCACTAACTTTTATATAAAAATTATCATATTTGCCACCAGCTTGACTAAATGGATCATAATATATGAAAATTAATTCGTTTAATAATATTTTAGTCATATTTTTGATAAAATTTTGTTCTTATTTAAGCAGCTATTTTCATGTATTAGGCTACTAAAAGCAACTATTTTGTTCATTTTTCTCTGTGGCAACACTGTCTACTGTAACTGTAAAGAACAGAATCATTTATAGAATCGGTTGATACTGTTTTGTCATGAACAGAAACTGTAGTGAATATATATGACAAAGAATGAACTTCTTCTCTGTATTTAGCTTTTATTTTTTATGTTCATGACTTTTTTGTTGCAGCATCTGGTCCTAATGGTATAGAAGAAATGAAAGTTCACCCTTTCTTTGCGACAATAGATTGGCGAAAGCTCTACGATCGTGAAACTAAGCCACCGTTCATACCAGCCGTTTCCAGATCAGACCATACAGTTTATTTTGATAAAGAATTCACAAATCGACCTCCTGAAGGTATTTGATTATAAATAGAATAATAATAAAAAAAAGATGTAGGTCTGTTCTAAATACATTATTAAAATAGTGGTCATTTTAGGAGATCTTTTAACTTTACAAAAAATTAAATGGAATTGCCGATGTGATCACTCACAATATGTATGGTTTTAAATGTTTCACGAAACTTTTCTTTTGAAAACCAATGAAAAATATCTTTAATTTATAATTTTAAAACTCCTTGAAAGACAATATTTTTGTTTTTTTTTCTCTCACAAAAGTAGGACTTTATTTTAACATTCTTAAAATTATGAATAAATTTTCCACAAAAATAAGTTTTCTCAAACTGTATGAACAGACCACTAGTTTTTGTGATTTTTCATAAAATTATGAGTGCATAGCTGCCAACTAAACTGGATTTTGCCAGTTCCTCCTGGACTACTGGTTTAATAAAAATAATTCTCCTGGTTTTTGTACATTTCTCTAAAATTGAAAATTCCCTAAAATGAAGTAAGTTTTCTAAAAAAATCCCTATTGAAATAGAATTTTTGTACAGATTATTGCTTACTTGAATATTTAAATAAGTGTTACTAATATATAGTCAGGGGTCTGTTTAGAAGAAATTTGGGTCCGTTAATGGACACTTAACAAAATATCTTTTCCCTTCACAAAATATTTTGACTTAAAATGGACCCTTCACAAAATAATTTATCTTTTAATCGGACCCTTCACAAATTTATTTATCTTCATTATTGTTTTGTTATCGAATAAACCCTTCCCAGGAACGGGAGGGGGGAGAAAAACATATGTAAACGAACTAAGTTCTGTCTTCGGCAGACGCTTCTTCCTTTATTCGTCCGAAATGAATATTCTGCTTTCAGCAGTATAGGATAAATACCAAATGTATGTATAATGCATCTCTAATTTAGTAGCAGCAATTGCTGTTTATTTTTTAAAATTTAATTTTTTTTAATTATAATTTTACAGTGTTGAGCATAATCTTGTATGTTTTTACAATTTAAAAACTCTGTGAAAAAGTTTTTTGCAATAACAGGACCCTATTTGCACTAATTCACAAAAACAGGACCCTGGTGAATGGAATGTGATTTAACGTTTATTTTATATTCACAAATTACGAGTAATTTTTTCACAATTTTACAAAAACGAACCTTTCACAAAATGTCTGGACAGACCTCTGATAATAAACCGAGCCTTATTACCAAAATTCAGTTAACTGTCTTTGAATTAAATTCCTATTACTATTCAAAATTATGAATAAACATAATGCTTAACATTTCAAGATCATTTAATGTGAAATTATAACTGGAAAATGTTGCAGTTTTTCTATTTTGATGACTATAAAAATCCCTAAAATTCCATATGTGTAAAATATTTAGTATATTTTGGAAAAATTATAGGATTTATATTTCATAAAATATACTGGATTTCTTTCTATCTGTGTTGGGGGCTATGTGAGTAGATTTTTCACATTTAGCAAAATGTTTCTTTGTCTGAAGTAACCTCTGCTTATGGAATGAACTAGTCCATAATAAGGAAAATGGCAAGTAGCTCTGAATACCTTAGTTAGGCAATAGTCTCATTAACTTGATATTTGGCTGAAATGAGTGGTTTCTCTAAATACTAGAAATATGATTCAGAATATTTATGACTGATTTCAATTCTTAATTTAGAAAGTCAGAAATACAATTCATCATAAAACGACAAATAATTAAAATAAAACAATTTTGGTTTTAGCTGCTTTAAGTGCTTTTCCATTTTGATTTATTATTATTTTAAATGTTACTTACTTATTTTGTCTTTTTCTGAATTTGTAAATTAGTTTCATTTTATGTTCAATTCTGTCTTTCCACAAAACTGAACTTTTGGGGCTGATAATAAAATAAACATAACTTACTTTTAGATTCCCCTGGCTGCCCTCCTAGTGCTACTGCCCATGAACTATTCCGTGGATTTAGTTTTATTGCTCCTAGTTTTGTTGATGAAACATGTGCCAAGAACAATGAAAATAATCAAAAAAGTCAGGTAACTATAAAACTAAATTTACGCTTTCTATCCATCAAGACGTTGTGACTTAAAATCGACTTTCTTAATGTAGATTTATCTGTTTTTGATCTATTTAATATCTTTGATTGAACTTTCTATTTGATAAAAATAATTTTTTAAAAAAAATATAAAACAGTTCTAAAACTTTTCCAAACCATGTTTACAATTTTTGTGGAATGTCTCTGCTTGTTAAAAAAATCACTTTCCTACAACATGGTGTGTAGCATTTTTAAAAAGGTGCTTATTTTTTGATAACTTTTTGTTGTATAAACTTTTGAGGTATAAATTTTTTGTTTAAAAATTTCAAACATGACTTATTTTGGGCACAACGATTATCTCGAGACAATTGAGTTGGATCATGATATTTCGGATTACATGAAAACTAGTGATTTGTGTAAATCGGTTAGGGATATGGTTAAAAGTTTACTAAAAGTCTGTTGTTCACTTAAGGATTAACTGGGAAGGAGAAATTTCATTCTCCGATTAGTTAAATGCGATCAAAGCTAACCACACTTCATTGAAATTGAAATTTTGGTCCCCCATTTTAAAACTTGCGTGTTATGTCAAATTGTCATTTGTGAAATCCTATGAAAACCTCTTTCTGTCTGGACTTTAACGAAATCAATTCCGAATTGCTTTTTAATAAATTCTCTGTTCTATGCTTATAGACTTTGCTTTATTTATAGAAAATAGACAGAAGCTTTGTTGTAAAGCATTTCATCACAAAAGATTATGAAATTACGGAAGAATTAGGTAGAGGTTCTTTTTCTGTCTGTAAAAAATGCATCTACAAAGAAAACGGAAAAGAATATGCTGTGAAGGTAAGTTGTTTATTATATTGTGTGGATTTATTTAAACTGTAATTTGGAATATTAACTGCAATTTTACATTAAATGTATTTCATAAATTAAATAAAAGTATTTTTATTAGTTTTAATACAAAAATTATCTTGGTATAGTTGATAAAAAAAATTATTTACCATTTTTCGCTAAAAATAAAAAAGTTTTTTTTTTCTATCGTGGTAAACTACACATTCACGATTAGTTACGCAATTCTCATTTTTTATAATTTAAGTTATCAATTAAAGAATTTTCGTTTATGAATATGAACCCACTCAGTGAATAGGCAGCTTTTTGTTAATTCATCTTAACCTTGATTCTACTGAACTAATCACAGCATTTGCACAAAATAGTGGTAGCCAGTTAATCTTAGCTGATTCTTCCATCCAATGAATACTCAAATAATGTCACTTAGCCATTCTTCTACCAAGTATCTTCGTAATGAATAGATTTAGCAATATAAATGAATGTTATATATTTAAATAAAGCTACAACTTTCCACGGAAAATCTCAATTAAAACTTTTAAAATGTATGCTGGTAAAATTAAGAAGAAAAAAAAAAGATTTAAAAAAACTCAGCCTGGAAAACATGTTAGCATATTGTGGTTTATTATTTAAAGTATAATTATGTAATGAAACTTTTTGTTTTAGGATAGGTATTAAATATTTATCAATATTCATATAAATGCAAATTTTTAAATGATCTGATCTATTCTGAGCCTTATTATGAGAACTGCATTTTAAGCATAGTTTAATATATGTTTCAGATTATTGACAAATCAAAGAGAGATTGTGATGAAGAAATTGAAATTTTGTTTAGATATAGTGGACATAAAAACATCGTCACTCTATATGATGTAAGTTATACTAACTAGTGTCATTGTATTTTTCTTCTTCTTCTCAGCAGAATGCACGATAATTTTTTTGTTCTTCTTATCTTGTTAGGTATATGAAGATTCCTCTTCTGTGTATCTAATAATGGAACTTCTAACGGGTGGGGAATTGTTGGAACAGATATTAAGAAAAAAAGTCTTGTGTGAGAGAGCAGCCAGTACCATAATTGAAGTAATAACAAGAACAATATGTTACCTACATGAGCAAGGGGTAAGTTATCTTTCTATTCTTCTTGACACATACTTGTGTTCAAATCATTCTAACATACCTGCCATCTTCCCACTTTTTTTAACGAAGAGTCCTGTATTTTACGACTATCTCCTGTTTACCTGCATATTCTAAAATTTCTCCGTATTTGCTGAAGAAATTTAAAAAAAAAAAAAAAAAAAATTGGTGATAAAATATCCATTGATGGCAAAAATACTTCTCTTATTCTTCAACAGATGGTGCTATTGCAGTATGTTGAGTGTAAATTGTTTTTAGTTGAATTGTTGTTGAATTAAGATGAATTGTTTGAATTAAGATGAATTGTTTATGTGTCTTACAATGTACAAAATATTATCACATTTTATCTTTATTTTTCTTTTTGGTTTTGAAATGATAACAAAAAATTTTTAAACATTTGTTTTTAAGCAAAGTTTATAATTTAAGATTTTAATGATCACATAGAAATGCTCAATAAATTCTTATTACTAATTATGTAGAAAAAAACATATCATGAACAATCAATATGCAATTCTATTCCATTAATAAATAATTTTATCATATGTTCACTCTATAATTTTATCTTTAATTTAATTAACTTAAGTTTTTCTGCTTTTTAGCCCTGAGTGATTTCTTAGTTTGAATTAAACTAATCAAAAACTAGAAAATATTCTTTTCTAAGTGTCATAAGGGAAGCAATTAATAATTGAATAAGATGTTCAATTGATATTCTAAATTATGGTTTTCTGTCAAATTATGGTTCAATATTCTAAATTTTATCTTTAAACATAGATTTTTTTGCAAAATTTACAGTACATTCTATAATAGAAATCTTAAAATAGAATGCAGATATTTAGTCCAATCTTTTAAAATACTCGGTTCAGATAATTTTTTTAGCTAAAAAATCAACATCTGCCCTCTTTGTCTTAAAATATCACGTCATATTCATTTTGAAATATTCGATGTATAGAACTTGTTTATCTATTGATGTGTTTTCTAACAAACCCTGCTGGGTTTACAATTCAAATAAACTATGCAGTAAGTGTAACGTATATGCATGTTGCATATAATTTGTATTATAGATCAGTAGCATATTATAATTTAGCAATATATTTTTTATAATCACGTACTTCATTTCTAGTATTTAGTAATTGAAATTAAACTTTGTTTGCAAAATTCAGAGTACTGAATTACTCCTTATAATTTAGCATAACAAGTTACAAAGTTAGGTTTAGAAAACATTAAGTTAATAATTTTTAAAAACAATCTGGGGTTTTCCTTTAAAATTGAAATAATTTGTTAAATTTTTTAGGATCGCAGCAAGCATTTTTATTATGGTTTTTAAAACTGATAAAATGTCTTCAAACTATGATCAACTTATACAGTATATTAATTTAAGCTGCCGGTGAACTCTCTTCTATAATAACATTAAAAACTGGCAAAAACTATTAACTGGTAGAGAAACATCTAAAGAACACAGTTCTAATTAAAAATTTAGGAAAGAACTTATTTTATTATAAATCTTTTCTGAGGTAGAGTAAAGTGGGTATATGGTTAGGTTTAACTAAGTGTTGTATGAGAAGGATATTTTTTTTTACTTCTGTTTTAGCTGTAGTAAGTATTTATTGCTCTATATTTTATAATGAAATAGCTAAAAAATTAATTTACTTTTTTAATTATAGCCCTAAATAGAAATTTTAACAATTTTTTTAAAATTTTATTTTATTAAGCGACGAATGATAGGAAGGAAATAACAATATAATAGACACATTATAGCATAGCTGCCTACAGAATTTTTCGGATTTGTTTCTAATTTTTAAATCCAATCTGAAAATCTGATATTTTTATAAAAAATCAGAATTTTCATAAAATTTTTGATTTTAAACCAATCCCTTGTTCTGATCGCCACCAGCATGCATCCTGTGATTATTGTGCTAAAGTAATTTTTAGTAGCTTTTTATTGGAAAATACTATTCCAATAGCTGTTGCTGATTATTTCACTAAATTATTATTTTTTGAAAATTTTTTTGTAGTATCAGAAATATTTGTTTGCATCAGAAATATTTGTTTATGATGTAGATTATTATTTACCTGTGTTTTATAATTTGGAGATAAATAATTAAATATTAATAGGTAATGTTTGTTTTTAATCTATTATACCTTTATTCCTAATTATAAAATATTAATATTATAAGTTTCCCACTAAAGATAGTGTTTATAGTTTTGTTTTACTAATTTAAATATATGTCTGTTAATGTTATGATTTAATAGTTAAATATTTGTCTTACTCTTGTAATTGGTGCGTATAATTTTGTCGCATATAGTGTTCCTAATTTTTAATTCCTAAGGTTGGCAGCTATGTTATAGTGTTAAAAAAAATTACCAAAATAGCATGAAGCTAGTTTAGTAATGTTGCTCACTAAGCTTTAATAATTAAGCTGGCACTAAGCACTTTAAATGAGCTCAATAAGCTGGCACTTAGTGAGCTTATTTCAAGACACAAATGAGTTTTTATGCAAGTTTCTGCCTTAATATGGCAGTTTTTCCATGAAAAGCAAAATAATTTCTTTAAAATAGCTAAATTGAATAAAAAATGCATGTTGCCATAAATAGTAAAATCACTTTAAACGACCACTATAGATTTTTATATTCTCATTTATATTTAAAAATAAACCAAAATCTATAATTTTTTTCTAGCTTTTTGATGAAATTGTGTAAAATTCAACAAAATATACTGGATCTGAAGTAAAACCTAATTTTGATGGCTAGAAGCATTAATGCTTTAATTTAATAATATGATAAAAAAAAACTTTTTTTGGTACCTATTCTTTTAAATATTATCAAGATATATTTAGTTAAGAGCATTTTTATTTCTAAAACAATATTTACATACGTTATATTTTTTTTTAATGAAATATATACTAATTTTGGAACTATACTTACTCTAACCTACTCTGGGGGTAAAGTGGGTATATCAAAACTTGTTCTTAAGAATCAATTACTGTAAGAAGATAATCTAACAGAATTGGTAAGTTATGTTTCATATTTAATTTATAATATGAATCCAATGTACATAAAATGACTCAAAATTTTCAGTAAAATGAATTTAATAGTTTAATTTTAGAGTTGCCTTTAAAAAAAATGCTTGATTATACCCACTTTACTCCACCTGACCCTGATTGACCTGGGGTGTTTTCGGAAGTGAGCCCAATTTGAAAAAGAAATGTTTTTGTTGCCGAATCCGGATTCTTTCTTTATTTTATAAGCAGTTTTGATTTTTTTTATACTTTCCTGTCTATTTCATCTTTTTAAAACTCCCAATTTTTCAAAGAATCCATATCTGTACTTTGTTTCATGGGTGATAATCTTGTAATTTTTTATTTATATCGTCTTTTAGAACTTATGAAGGGGAAACAAAGTTTTTAGGGAAGAAAAAGTAATTAGTGCATCCATTCAGAAAATGTCCAAAAATCTATTGTAAAGAAGAAAATTTATTTTATGCGTAGAGTAGAAAAGAGTGTGTTCTAACTGAAATATTTTAAATAAATAAATGCGTTTGCATTGTAAATATTTTTGGATTATGTACATATAAATTTAATCATTTTGTCAGGTGGTGCACAGAGATTTGAAACCTTCGAACATTATGTATTCTGACAACAGTGGAAACTGTGATTCCCTAAGGATATGTGATTTTGGTTTTGCCAAACAGATTCGTGCCGAGAACGGTTTACTGATGACCCCATGTTATACAGCCAACTTTGTTGCTCCAGAAGTCCTCAGGAAGCAAGGATATGATGAAGCATGTGATATATGGAGTTTGGGTGTTTTATTATATACCATGCTTGCTGGGTTAGTATATAACATTTTTTTACACGACAATTGTTTTAAAGTACATTTTTACAGCTTATCAAATTGAATTTAATAGAGATACTTTTTTTAAAACAACTTAATATATATTTTATGTATCAATCCTATTTTTAATACATTGCTCCTGTTTATCTGTATATTCTCAAATTTCTCCATCTTTGTCGTAGAAATTTAAAAAAATATAATAATAAATNGCTTAAGGGGCTAAAGAAAGATGATGAAATAAAACGTGTATTACAAAATTAAAAGAATTAGTATTATTGATTAAAAAAAGGATATTTATAAATTAGGCTGTGACCTAATGTCACAAATAATAAATAAGAAAAATCCATTAAATATGGCAAAAATACTTCTCAACAGTAAGTAAGTGGTATTTAAGTAAAAACATCCTCCGTCGGTTCATGGGTTAGATGCCGTCAGAGGGAGGTTTTCCTCTCCATGTGACCCAAATGCAGGTTAGTTATATCAAAAAGTTCTCCATGAAGGCAAATTTCTTTCAATACTTGATCTAGGAGTTCCCTTGTCTTCTGGATTGTTTTCAAAATTACAAGGCTCTGGAGTTGAACATTAGTAGTCGTAAGCCCAAAAAACTGGTTCAACGATGGTTATGAAATAAAATAGCTTAAGTAATTATAAATAGTGGTTCTTTAGATTAAAATTTATATAGATATTTTTTCCTTGCTGCTTATATTATTTCGAATTTCTCTTTTTGACGTACATAATTATACATGATGTATCCAATATTTACTAGTAGTCTGAAAAATGTGGCTAGTAAAATCTCTGTTATTTTATTTCTCCGATGTTGGCAGTTATATCATAGTATTTAAGAGTTAGAGTATTCATATTTAACAGTATTTGATTACATAAATTAGTGTGCTATTTGTGATTGTTATTTCAATCTATGTTTTTTAGTAGTGATTAGTATGTGATTTGTTAATTTATTAATATTAATAAAATTTTATAAGTTTGTTATTTTAATAATTCTTTATCTAATTTTTTGCGTAAAATAGTATAGTACTAAAAATTTTTTTCATTTCTTAAGAAAATCATTTAGATTTAATTTTTTTTCCAATTGTTGCTTTTTAATTTGCACTTAATAAAAAATGATCTATTAAATAACTTGAGAATTAATAATATTCTTTAAAACATATTGTAATTATAAACTGTCTAAAATTTGTTTAATATTTGATTTTTTTTTTAAAGTAATAACTTTTAATATGTGATATTTTTTCTTTTTATGTTGGAAGAAAACTATTTCTTTCAGTGTGATTTTTTTCCATTGTGGAAAAAACTTAACATCCCTGTTTCTAATCAAGCATTTTTAAAATATTTATTTTCACTACTACCTATAGACTTTTGCAGGGATTAGTTAAAACAAAGTTTTGCTATTGTTTAAAATCATTATGTTAATAGTAAATTTATGTTAACAGTATGACTTTAACAGCATAATTTTTTTTGTTGCTTTAAAATGCTGAAACAGAAAATTTAATGTGACATACACTTATATGTATATTGGAATCCCAGTTTTACGTTGTCTGTTTTGTATGTTATCCTGCTTTGTGTTTAAAACTACATATGTATGAATATATTTCAAAATTATTTCTCTTGTTTCCCTCTTATTTTTTGAATTTATTATGATTTTATTTTTGTTATTCACGGTGCTATGGCCTCCTAATTCAGAGGATTATGAGATCTTTACTGTAGTAAAACATACCTTTATGTGTATTATGTAGCCTATTTGATAATTTTTAGTCCTTTTCATTCCATTATTTTTAAATATTTTTTAATTAAAAAAATATATTATTAGTTTACATTTTTCATACTCCCATAAGTTAAAATTTGTATTAATTCAATTAAGAAAAAAAAAAAAAATTATAGGTATTTTGTTAAGTTATAAATTGATACAAATGTTGTAATTTGAATACTGTTCATTAATGCCATTAAATGATACTAACATATTAATACTGATATTAAATAATAAGTAAGACCTTTTTTTTTGTATATATTGACAAAAATGAACTCATTATTTTATTTACATAACAAATATAACTTTTTGATTTTAAATTGAATAATTGAATTATTTGCATATTTAGTTGAAATGTAAAATAATGAATGAGCATATTCAATTTCTTCGATTATTATTATTTTTTATCATGTCAGCAAGTTTATGGAAGTAAAGTTGATACATTTTTTAATTGTTTATTGATAATATTAGGTATTAGTTTAACAAGTTTTCCTAATTATCCTTCATAATAGTTTAATTACTTTTAATATTGAGCTTAAAGTTTTATTTAATCCTTAGTTTTGAATACCCTCCTTAAAAAACACGTTTTAAATAAATAAAAAAAAACAGGGTATTTCATCATTCTTGCTATAAAATATGACAATCCAAGTTTTTAACTAGTGTTTTCAAAAACATATTAAAATTTCGTGAAAAACAACATATACAGAGTGGTTGCGCTAAAACAACCACTCTTGAAGTAAACTGCTNCTTTATTAATTTGCATAATATCCTATAATTGACATTTGCTGCGAATTTCATTTGATTCTGATGATTCCTTCATGGTGTTGCATTTTCTACAAACAGCAGTTTATATTTCTAGAATCTTCATCAAAAATGGTGTAAATATTATGCATATTATGTATCTCAAATTAATATGTTAGTGAGAAAAACACACTCTCCCTTTATCTTGTTCAAATTTTCGTTCATCCACTCAAATTCAGATACATGTTGTTTTTTTTAACACTCGATTTTTTTTTACAGTTTTTTCAAATATTAATTCATTCATTAAATTGGTATTAGCGAAATGGAATTTTCTGATTGGTTAAGCATTGTTTTAAATTTTACTATAGTTTTTCACATATTTTAAAGTGATAGCCTCTATTTGAACGAAAAAAATATTTTATATAAATATTACTTATTTTATATTCGCTCTGTCAGATAAATTTAATAAATAACATAACGTGATCCACACTCCCAAATTTATGCTTACTCTACCACGCAATTCCCTGTTCACACACTCCCTATATCATTGATAAAATACTTTTTTATTCATCCACTCAAGTTCAAATACATTTTTTTTTTTAAATTTGTAGTGGATGATACACTCTCCTTATATCATTGATAAAATACTTTTTATTCATCCACTCAAGTTCAAATACATTTTTTTTTTAAATTTGTAGTGGATGATACACTCTCCCTATATCATTGATAAAATACTTTTTTATTCATCCACTCAAGTTCAAATACATTTTTTTTAAAAATTTGTAGTGGATGATACTTGATGTTAATACAGTTTTATCAAATATTAGTTCATTCATTAAATTTAATTCATTCATTTTAGTTTTATGTGGGATTATTTAATAAAATGTAACTAAAATAGAATTTTTCTTTGTTGACCTGAGTAGGAATTGACCTTAAAAATGTCTTGTTTAAAATGGAATGTTAAATATAAGTCATTGTGGAAATTAGCTAAAAAAAACTTTCTTTTCAGTCAAACTCCTTATGCAACTGGTCCAGAAGATAAAGCAAATGATATACTCATGAGAATAGGAGACAACAGCGTAGACTTGAATTCTGGAAATTGGGTATCCATTAGCTCCTATGCCAAAGTAAGCCTTCTTCTTTAATGGTGTCATTCTTACACACACACAATTCACCAAATCTCTCTTTATTCATTTTATAGGATTTGGTGAAGATGATGCTGCATGTGGATCCCAAGCAAAGGTGTAGAGCGGCAGATATCCTTAATCATCCATGGATACTCAATAAAAGTCAGTTACCTGATAGTCAACTGGTGCTTGAAACAGATCCAACAGAAACTTTGGTAATTCTTTCAACTTTAATTTTTTAGACAAGTAATATTACTATGAATTGTATTTAAAAATATATATAAAATTAAAGGTTTATTCATTACGCTACATATATCGGTTGCTTAAAGAAGCAAAAGAATTTCTATTTTCATTTAAAATGGATGCGTTTAATAATCAATTTGTCGATCAAATCGGGTTGCATTTAAAAAATTTTACCTTAAAATTTAGTTTATTTCTTGCTTTTTTTTTTGTTGAATGTCTGCAATTGTGTAGTGAATATTCTGCATTTATATAAAATGGGGGTTGGCATGTATGTTTGAAGGTTTTCAATATATTTAACAGAAAATTTTTTATAGGGTGCAGTTGCAGCCACGTACCGTGCTATCCATACCACAAACCACATACCTTTAAAGCCCGTGGATGCTTCGAAATTGGCTCGGAGAAGACAGAGAAGTCGCCCTAAATCCACTGATTAAATTAGAAGACTCACTCTCTGAGGCAGCTTAATAATAGTTATTTCCAATCTTGATATGACCCAAACAGTCAATAGATAATATGTGTGTGGTTTCATTGATTGTTTGCCTCTTTGCTTTAGTAAAATATTGTTGTGAAACATCAAAAACTTCCATAGAATATTATGATTTTGCAAGTGGAAGAACATGTTCTGTAATCTTTATGACTAAGAAAGCTTTCTAGAACTGATCTAATCACATGAATTGAGGAAGTTTCTTTCCATTTGGGAGAGGCCAATAAATGGTGAACCTTAATTACTATGAAAAAATAGTTCTGCTGCTGTAAAAAAGCATTGCTTTAGGGCGTGCCAGAAGATTTTTTCCCCACAGGTACCATTAAAATACCGTGAAAACGAATTGAAAGATTCCTAAATTATCTGTGACTTTTTATCTTCTGCGAAAGGGTCTCCTCAAACCCCGTGTGATTAAGAATGTGTGTCATAATGGTACTCAGCCGCTACTACGTATGAGATTGAGAAGCTGCTTTATTTTAAACAGGATCAAATGTGTTTTACACAGCATAACATGTTCTTCCATAAAGCTCTTTAATTTTATGCATCTGTGTATTTAATAAAATGTAGGTTTAATGCAGAACATTTATCATGAATCATTGCTATAAAAAGAAAGTGATATGATATGTGCCAATCTGTGATTTGAAAATGAGAAGTACTTTTTTCCTAAGATGTAATAATTGGTCTATCACAAAGTGTTGTTGTAAATGCTATCTTTAGTTTTACCTCAAAGTTGCATGATGAAAAATATTTTTATATATATAAACTTTTTCTAATTCTTTGTGAAGTGAAATGCCTGCAATTTTTAGGTGTTTCGGTTTTGTGTTTCTATTTCAAAGAATGTTGAGTTTATTTAGCTAGTCTTAAACTCTTTGCATTTTATTTTTTACTATGCACTAATAATATTTTTGATTTTAGTAATATTAAAATTTTAGTTAAGTTAAATCATACAGTCTAACCTTGCTAACCATGATTTGGGAAATATCTTTAAGGGAGAAAAAAATGCTAAAAATAACCACATTGTTTAAACAAATGTCCAAATTTACTATCTTTTAGCGGTACCTTCAGAAATTTAATTTCATTGAAAACTTTAGTTTCACAAAATAATTTTAAAATATTCTCATAATGAAAATAACTCTTAGTTCTAGTACTGTTAAATGAATTTTTTTAAATTAAATTCAAGTTGAAATTTAACTATGCACAATGATTTTTATGGATTTTTAAATTTGGATACAATTTTAAGCCCAAAATTTTACAATAGCAAAATTGTTTTTTATTTATATATGGGGAAAAATATATAGAAATTTACCAGTTAGATAATTTTTATTGTGACAGTTCTTGAAAATATTTTCTTACTTTATCTTGTTTATGTGTTGATTTTTTAATGTTATTTTTAATTTTCTCAAATTATGTCTAAATTTTCACAAAATTGGTACCTCTTAAAAAAAAACTTGAGCAGGCCCCTGGTCTTGCTCTTCATTCAAATTTTTTTCCTCAATAGGAGAATTTTTCTTCAAATAAAACATAAAATTGTAAAAAACTGAAAACTTTAAAAAAAAACACTTACTGCTTACAATTGAATCTAAGAAAATAATCGACAAATAAGTAAAATATGTCACCTGGAGAGATCAGTGGAGGTCATTTTGAAACTTTGAAAATAGCATACTCTTCGCTTAGGCTACCAACTATGCAATCTTTTTTCAGATATTTTTTTGTGTGAATATTATTAAAAGATGGATTTGGTTTTATAAAAGCATGTAAAAAAAGCTTTCTATCGTTGATAAGATAGATATATTTAATTTTTTCCTCTCTCTCTCTTCATGTTTGAAGTATCAAGTTTTGTCTGTATTTATTGTTGGTCAAAATTATTTGCTTAAAAGCATAGCCTGTTAAATTTTTCATAAATTTTGCATTTAAAGCTAAATTCTGAAAGAAAGATGGCCTACCAACGCAATTGAAGGTGTAGGCAGTAAAAAATTTTGCACATTTTTCTGTTGAACATACTTTATGCGTTCTTGGATTATATGCTGTATAAGATTTTCAATTAAACAATTGTAAAAATATATCTAGAAGGCTCCAGATCGTGTAATTTTTCTACAGTTGCTCCTTTTTTCCCTTTTTCAATGTCAATAGGCTTCACATTGTAAATAGAACTTTTTTTTTCAAGCTATTTCTATTATTTAGATGATTTAGACTTATTGTTATTGTTGTTTGATGAATCTGATAATTTTTTACATTTTTTGCGATGGAAAAATTTCAATCTCACCAGATATATCCTTTTGGTTTTTGAAAATTGTCACCTAACACATCATCAATGCATTCTTCATGGGTCAATGAGGCTAATTCTGTTTCACCTTGACGGTTTTCGTCAGAAGAAAAATCCGAGACATCTTCATCACATAATTCTTTCAAGTACTGCAACCTTTGTTTTTCACTCCTTTCATTCGGACACATTGTTTTGCAGAATCTGTAAATGAAAATACACTGCTTTGAACTGATGTTTTCGCAACATTAAAAAAAAAAGGCATATTTATCTTTAAAAAAAGGCAGTGCCTATTATTAAAAAAAAAGGCATTGTCTATTATATAAAAAGGAAGTTATTAAAAAATCGCAACTCTGAAGAAGAAAATTTTCTATTATTAATTTTGCGAAAACTCAACATCGGCCGTTAAAATGCTTTTTGTAAAAGGTTTATTTTATTCATCCAAAATTTATTCTAGTTAAAGTTTTAAACGAAGGCACTTTTGATTAAACTGGTGAAATGCAAATTTTATTGCATTAAGAACAATAATAACAGAAAAAATTGCACAATTTTATCTTCTTCAAATAAATGCATTTTTTCTTTAAACAATGATTTAATACTTTTTGATTGATTAGCAATTTATTTTTTAAAACTTGGATTTCAACTAAGCATCTAATTAAATTTTTAAAGAGAGGTTTTTTGAATTATGTTTTAATATATTAGCATTATTAATACTTTTTGAAAATAAACTAAGCTTTTTTGGTCTCCTTTTGAAAAAGTTCTACTAAAGGCACATTAGTCATGAAACGTTTGTGATAATGTTATTTTCTTGAGGTAGAAGTGTTAAATACAAGCCCAACTTGGTACTTAGACGTTACTGTCATAAGCTTATTAAACTCTATTTAAACTAAACACTTTTTCTCTAATTAAATTAGCAAATACTATGATTATTACTGTTTACCTTCTATTCTTCTAGTTTGCAATATATTGCGCAATGAAATATCTTTTTGTTTTATTCTTCAAAATTTTATTTAATGGCACTGCTCTTCAAAAATAATTTTTTTCTTCTTCAAAACTGGTCATCATTCCTGCTGATACTTATGTAAAGTGAATTTCTTATTAATTATTTTAAATATCTTATCTAATTATTATATCTTATATATTATGATCTTATTTAATTATTATTATATCTTATTATTACAAATTTCTTAAGTGATTCTTATGTTAAATGAGTCCTTTGTTTAGTACATCACCTACCTTTTTCAGGATGAAGTCCCTATTTTTGTTACTTATTTTATTTATTATTATGAGGGGAAGATAACCATTATACAGTGAATATTTTTAACTTTATTGCTTTGAAACATCTATCAAAACTTGTGATTTCACTGGATGCTTGCAGCAGACTTAAACTAAATAAGTGAAAAAATTGTTATTATTTTTCACAAAATTTAAGATGGTCGTTCTTCAAAAAATGTACTTTTTCTAAATAAATAAAAAAATTTCGGTTAACATTGTAGTGCATGTACCACTACAAAAATACAATTCCAATTCACTAGTATAAAAGCCATAATAACTCGATTCTATGTTGAGGTACCTGTTCATTGATGAATGTTGACATTGTCTTTATGATTCTCCCCACATTGGACCTTCGGACGTGACGTGGACATGCCTACCTTGACCGAAACTCCTAGTTTGGTTTGAACAGGCCTATTTCAATGGATTGTCCACATTGAGCAGTTGACTTGTGACTGCAACATTATCCACCTCCTCGCACCGTCGCTACATGTTTGGTTTTTTTAACCCTTAAAATATGACATTAATCAGAAGAGCGGTCCAAACTTTGGATCCTTTAATGTCAATGAACTTTACTTATTGCTTTTTTGTTAAGAAATTTTTAAGTGAATTGAAAGATTTTTGTAGAAAATTTTGTTGTTTACCAAAAGATAGTTTCACGCAAAAATTAATTTTTTGTAATTATTTAATTTAATAAGCATTTTTGAATTGTAAGGTGTGCGCATCATTTTACAGACTAATTTTGTATGGCAAAATATAAAATTGAAATAAAATCGGTCAAATAGTATCAAATTTTTAAGTCGTATATTTACAATTCAATTTCTTAGTAATATGAAAAGGGTCTCCTGACCAGACTATTGGAACCCTTGACCTTATATTTGAGAGTAAGGGATCCAAGAGAAAAGGTATGTTTTTGGAGTCTGATTTTATAAATATCCCCTGCACAACTTTTTTGAGTGAAGGGTCGCATGCACAGCAGGTAGATTAACGAAGGCATATTTAGTCATGTTAGAGGCAAATATGATAATTTTTATCTAAACATTAGTGTTCAGATAAAAAAGTAGCACCAAATATTTTTATCAGTAAACTTAATTACATATTTGCAGAAAATTAAATACTTTTAAATACTTGAATTTGTTTGAAGCTAAAAAAACATGCATTTTTAAAAAAAAAACATTTTCCTTTATTCACAATAATTAATTTATCATATATATATATCACATATTGCGAGAGGGAATTCTAACCAAAAAGAAGCTCACAGAATGAAAGAGCAAGGAAAAAAAAAGAGCATTTTATGGAGAAATATAAATTTGAATTAAATATATGTTAATAAAAGAAAATTTATAATGTTTAAACAAGAACCAAATTGAAAGAAATTTTTTATTGCGTTCAGAACTTCGTGCACCCCTAGTTTGCACTAATTAATTACCATATTTGAGGGCACCTTTTTAAACCATTAAGTCCTATTATATTATCATCCGATTGTTTGATCAAAAGATATATTGCACCGAAAGAAATCGCATGAGAATCAGCTGGCCTGATGATGTATTGAAGAGCAGTAAATAAATAAACATATCTGTAAATAATGCATTTTTTTCTGCTTCATTAGGCACACCTTTCTCATAGACTCATTCTTATATGATAGCTGAACATAACTAGGTGTACAAATATTTATGCAATCAAATGTATATTTTATGGAACTTTATATTTGTACATATAACAAGTTTCTGAAGTGTCTTTTTTGTGTGAATCTCGATGTAATAATACAATTTTTTGCTTTCCAATCCTTATTTTTCTCTTATCGCTTGATCCATTATAAAATAATTTATTTGTAAGTACACTGCTGAGTTTTTAAATTTATTTCTTAAATTCTATTATATTTGATGTTGCAAAAATGGTGTTCTTTTAGTTATTGTCTACTAAAAATAAATCAAGATATTTTATGATTATTATCATTTCAATTTCTTTCTTTAATTCTATTATATTTGATGTTGCGAAAATGGTATTTTTTTAAGCTATGTCTGCCAAAAATGAATCCAGATATTTTATAATTATTATCATTTAAATTTCTTTCTTTCATTCTATTATATTTGATGTTGCAAAAATGGTATTTTTTTAAGCTATTGTCTGCTAAAAATGAATCCAGATATTTTATAATTATTATCATTTAAATTTCTTTCTTTCATTCTATTATATTTGATGTTGCAAAAATGGTATTCTTTAAGTCATTGTCTCCTAAAAATAAAGTAGTATTGGGATATTTTACCATACTATGAGAAATATGTGACGCCCGGTGGCTGAGCGGTAGCGTTTCACGCTGTCGTGCCACAGGTCCCTGGTTCGATCCTCGGGCCGGGCAAGGTTGACTCAGCCTTTCATCCCTTCAGTGGGTCGATAAAAGAGTACAAAACATGCTTGGGAACTAAACACTGGGGGTTCCGCGTTCGGCTGACCACCTGACCGGAACATCTGCTCCCGCACCCCAGAGCCCAAGGTCAAGAGAACTGAGATGGGCACAGTAGGCCTTGGCCCTCTATGGGCTGTGGCGCCGCTGAGTTTAGTTTTATGAGAAATATGTTAAAATTTGCTTTCTAACATTTTCCAAACAATTCCTGTA